CCCCGGGCGTGGCCCCAGTGGGCGTGCCCCTGCCTAGGCGCTATTGCGGGCTTTTGGCTGCTTTCAGGACAGGGACCCGTTGGGATAACAGACCCCGCTGCGCCATCTCAAAGCAACTACCCCTCTGCCGCGGCGCCATCCACCGGAAACGGACCCAACCTCACGAGCACTAATACTCTGAGTCGGCCACTCGCGGTCTACAGATTCGTGTTCTTCATAAGCTAAGCCTGACCCGTAGCTTCTAATCCAGCCTGGTCAAACAACAGCGGCGGCGCATCCCTTTCCCGCTATTTTAAACTGGGTCCGGTCTCTCCCATGCCTTTGATATAACAGAACTTGCGGCGGCTGGCTGTGCCTACAGTCTGACCGCGCGGAGCAATAGCTGGCGTCTGTTACTCACCGCATCGGCCCCCTCCGGGTAACTAGGTGCTCCGCCATTCTGGTGTCCTCCTTCGTCCCGCTGTTGGAGGATGTCCTCCAAGCCTTCTTGGCCTCCGCCGCGCGATTGCTCGCGCTCTGCCATCACTTCGCTGTTACTGGCGACCGATATGCCAGCAACGTCAAATCGCCTTATCTACTTTACTATTGAGCTGGGTCCCGAATACAAAGTAAATCACTATTTAAACAATTCAAAATCCCCAACAGACGACGTTCTGACTTGCGCTTGCTTGCACGGTTGACTGGCGAACTAGCGTTGTCTGGATTCAGCGCTTTGTTCCCAGCTAATCTTTGTAACGCACTACCGTATCAGTCACTGTCCTCTGGCCAATTCCGGTCTGCTCCTCCCGCGCCGCACTTGCCGTACTACACTACAGGACGAGCACTTAATCAACATGCACTCGCTCAATACTTGCATTCCTCAGGTTGCATGCACGTCCTGGGCTGACAGGTGGACAGGAACAAGTTCAACAATCCATGCGGGAAGCCTCCTTATGTAAACAACCGTTGATTATTCTTAAAAGTTGTGGCTTTCTCTACTTCCCGCGCTACCACGCTAAATCGCTGCTCTTACATAGCGAAAACGTATCAACACACCACCGCAATCTTTCAGCGACATCCTGTAGAAGTATGCAACGGGAAACGACAAGCTACAAAAAAACACGCAAAAGCGATGTCCTGCACATACTTGCACATTCCCTGCGAAGCATAGACTATGGCCCTCTAGCGCACGGTCTGTACATGGCTCTGCGGGCCCTGCATAGGCGCCCTGGGCGCATTCCAGTTCCCAAACACGCTGGCATGGCGACTGTCCACCGCCAAACTTAATAATACCTCCCTGGACCGCTGCCTGCCACTGCTCTAAAATACAACCACCACATTGCAGCAGCCAGTTCGATAAACCTGCTGTGTCCTGATTACCCAAGCAAGTCCATTGTAACCAGAACTTCCAGCCTCCTCGGCACTCCGCCCTTAGCTACCCAACACCCACATCAAATGGTGCAGCTCACACCATGCGCAAAACCAGGCACAGTGATAAGCAAAAACCACGATCATAATGCCAAAATGCTCACATCCCATCCCCACCAGTTCCAAGCTTTCTGGGGAGCCTCAATGAATGAAATCTTCAACGGAAGTACTTAGGGGACGTAAGGCCGGTGGGTCCCAATGTTTTTGATGGCGGCAGCTGTAGACCCAACGCATGTCCTGCTGGCCGCATGCCCAGCGGAGTAGGATGGCGCGGTGCAGCCCCTCCCCAGCATTGCTGCAGCGTCTGCTGCCGGTGCTTTCGCAAGGAATGTGCAAGCATTACCTGCTGCTGCTCCTCCGATGCAACGCAGCATCCGTCAGCTGCTGCTGCTCCTGGACCTCCCTCCTCTGCACGGCTGGGCAGAGAAGACGGCATCGGGATGGTGCGGGAAAGATCCGGCAGTGTGCGACCGGAAGGTGGACCGCCAGTTATAGGGGTGCCGAAGGCCGGTGACAGGCCCAGCAGCTCGTTGAGACCCGGGCCCCCAAGGCTCATCCTGGACTGCTCTTCCAATGGCCCCGATTCCCGTTGCGGGCCCTGACCGCTCCTTGTTGCGTGCAGCCCGCCTGTCCTACGGGCTATTACACCCTCACCCCTGTTGGCTGGGAAGCTCCGGCTGCTCTCATCCAAAAGCAGCTGTGTGACAGGCGCTGCATGCAGCTCCATCGCGCCTGAACTGGGGTGCCGGTGCAGCTGCTGGGAAGCCCGGTCGAAGAAGCTGCTAAAGCGGAAGCTGCACTGGCGCCCTTGACCCCCCCCATCATACTCGCTCCCTACCCCACGAGACTCCAAATGCCCGCCCTCATCCACTTCACCAAAGCCACCCGGCTGCTCCGAGGACTGCAAAGCCGGAGAGCCCACAGTACGCTCTTCGAATGTCAACATCTCTCGACGCAGCTCTTGCTCCACTTGCCCCAAGCCGCCCCCTTGGTCATCCTCGCCCTCGTCAACCCCTGCGGGAAAGCTGCAGGGGACCATGAGGGTGCTGCCGCCCTGGGTTTGCGTCTCAAAGACGCAGGACAACGACCGGACACTCTGCTGCACGGCTTCTGCATCTTCATCGTTATCATCACTCGCTGGCAAGTGCAGTCCGGGCATCCCACGTTCTTGTGCATGCTCAGCCTCTGTGCCTCTACTCGGCGTGCTGAGCCCAGGCCCAGGTCCGCTTGCTGCAGCATCAAGTGCTTGCGCCAGGCGTGAGGCCGTGCGCGGGTCTCGACCGCAACCGCCCGGTGTCTCCGTGCCCATAAACATGCCGAAACCAAAGGGCGACGTGAGCCCACAATCTCTGTCATCCTCCATGCGGCGGCGGAGATACTCTTCAGATGGAACCGTGTGGCGTCTTCCTGTGCGAGAGGCGGTGCCTACTTTTGGCATGGGACTCTCTGAGCCGATGCCTGCACTGGCTGTCGCAGCAGTTGTGACCAGGTACCCCGCGCAGGGCGCCGGCGCCAGCCGACTCGCACCTCCATGCCGGCCGCCACGGGTGCACGGGGATGCCAGTGCCGCAAAGCCACCTGCATGGCCTTGCCTGCCCCGTGCTGGTGTCTGAGCGGGGCCTGCAAGGACACCAGACGACCGGACTCGGCGTGCCGGCGATGGGGATCGCTCTGCAGGACCCAAGTCGTGATTATCACTGGAGCTATATGCCCGCCGCGGCCTCTTCGTCGGTGTGAGATTGTCACCGTGGAACTGCGACACATGCGGGGCCCGCGCAGCAGCTTCACCCATCTCGTCTGCATCATAAAAAATAAGACGTTGCTGCCGAGGCGGACTGGCCGCAGCAGCATCGCTGCCGTTGTCTGCACCACCGGTCAGGGAAGCAAGCATATAGCTCGGCCCTAGGTCCGGCACATCCCTGACCTCACCGTCGGACGGCTGGCCATCGTTGTTGTCAACACCGGTGCTCGGGGCGATACCGGCGCTGACAGTGGGCTCACTATGCAGAGACGGAGATGTTCCCAGCCGCAGAGGCCCATCATCTTGCTCTGCAAACTCAGCCGTGGATGCGAAGGGAAGGAACGCCGCTGCAAATGGCGATACCATCCGAACCCGTGGCTGCTCTGGAGTGCTAACAGTGACACTCGTTGCAGCAGCTACGGTAGCCGTCACCGAAGCTGTTGCTGCAGCACGCGTCGGAGTTGATGAAGACGGCTCGATCAGCGGCAGTGGCAGCGGCTGATCCTCCGCGTGGCCGGCCGATGGCAAACCAGAACCGCCAGCTGAGGCACTACTAGTTGGTGCTGGCGGTGGTGGTAACGGCTCCGGGGGCGGCATGTTCTCCTTATCACCGTAGGGATCAAATTCCCAATCAGATTCGGAGTCGTCGCCGTTCGCTACACTGCCACTGGGCATGAAGAAGCTGTCGTCTACATGCCGGACCGCCAGGGGCCCCACTGAGTCGCCCATACGCTCCTGCTCTCCGGCACCATCGCCATCCCATGCGATGCGCAGCTCCCTAGCTTCGGGCGAAAACCGCACCATCCTGCGGTTGACGTCGCCGGCTTCGTCGTCCCTGGCCAGACCATCCGTGAATCCATAATAGGGCCCCATGTCATCTGGGTTCGCGGCACGGTACCGGAGAGCCGGTCCGACGTCTTGGCCGTCTTGGACGTCGTACATGATGGGAGAAAATGTCAAACGCGGACTGCGCGACAATACAGCCATCCCAACGCCGGCCTGCCGACCACGACTGTCACGACTGGGGCATTGCAGAAGACTGTCGATAGCGGCGATGATGTCCGTGCTGTTCCCGAGGTGAAGCCGAGGGGTCGGGTCATCAGCGGCATCAATAATCGCCCTGCCGGCATCACTTCCAAGTGGGTGAGCGTCGGCATCTCCGTCAGTGTCAAATAGACGCCGCTGGACCGGGCTCTCGCCGGCATCTGGCCCCAAGTCCCCGCCACTCATGCGCCGGAAGCGGGGTGATACCATGAAGTCCAAATTACCGCCTCCAAAACCAGTACGACTGCCGTACCGTGGGGAGTTGCGCAGGATCTGGTCCACGACGCCTTGCGGCGCCTGGTGACTTGGCCCCGACAACCCGTGGCGCTGGCTGCCAGTGGGGGTCCCGCAGGGGGCCCCGTTACTTTGGCCACAACTGCCCATTCCAGTGGAAAACAGACCCGACCCGCTGCCGAGGGACGTACGCGATGGGCTGAAAGGGCTCAGCCTGGACCGGGATCGGTTAAAGCTGACGGGCGTGGTGCATAGCGAGACGGGCTGGGCGCGCGGGGGCAGCATCGCGGCGGGCGGCGGTGCGAGGGAAAGGCTTGGTGGCAGCTCTGGCTGTTGGGGTGGGGGTGGCAAAGGGGGCTTCCCGAGGAAGCGCCGCTCATGCTGGCTGCATGGCTGGCTGAGTCGCCAGCTGTGGTCTGCAGAGGCACCAAGACCATCTGCACCATGACCGCCGCATCGCGGCCTCGAACAGGTTGGGGACTGAGTGCGGACGTAGGGCAGGCCTTTCATAGCGTCCTCTAATCCGCAACCCATATCCACAGTGGCGTGTGCGCCACCGGCCCCAGCAGCAGTTCCCGATGCCGCCGCCCCTGGAGGCGCAGCTGCTGCTGTTTCATGACCGGCGACGTCTGCCCTCACAAGCTGCTGCTGCTGCCAGCAGTTTACGGCGGGGCTGAAGATGGGCACAGGCGGTAATATACTGGATCGCCGCACAGACGCCGGCCCGGAGGGTACAGCGGGTTGTGCAGGTGCACTAGATACAGGGGAGGCCAGAGCGCTGGCCCGTATCGCCGCGGCGCAGATCAGTGGTGGCTTGCCATCCATTCCTCGCGAGCCGCCATAAGGGGTCAGCAGGACGTTGTCTTTAGCCATGGCGGCAGCATGCACCAACGCTGCGTCTATAGCTGCCGATGCTTCCTCCATTACGGCGAAGAGCGGTATTGCATGCATGGGCCCAACGCCAGGCGCGGGGTCAGTCGTGTTGGCGGGTGCAGTAGCCGGGTCGGGCGCCGCAGCAGCCGGTGGTGCAGGAGCTGGCATAGGTAGCAGGTTGAGGCGCTGTTGCACTTTACGCCTGATGACAATAGGCTTGGCGGCGCGGTGTCTGCCGTGGACGGCGTCTACAGCTCGTGAAGGGAGCGTGGAGAGACCGGCTGCAGGATGCAGATGGGGTGTAAATGCGGCAGAGAGGGGACAGCTTTTATTTCCATGTAGCAAAGGAACAGGACCGGAAGGTGGGAATCGGATAATGTGGGCATCAAGCAGTTGCATCGGGCGCAAATAGCAAGCGCATCTCCGAGACCACTTAACACGGATGCACGTGACATGGCGCCCAGCCGTTTCCTTCGGCTGACCAGGCGATGAGTTCTGGCAATGAGTTTCATCACGCTTCAACCCAGTCCCCAGCTCACCTCGGTCCGCCGTGGCGGCCTCAGTCTGCCGCAGCTGCTCCGCTGCCACGTCGCCCCTAACACTGGCATCCAGCTCCGCGACATGGCTTGCCATGGCCGGCGCCTCATCCTCCACCGCTCGTGCCTCCCGTGCGGGTAGGCGATTGAGTGTCCACAGCCGGACCTCCCCAGAGTCGCTGCATGTAGCCACCTTGCTCCAGTCGCCGCGGCACCACGCGACGCCCGTCACTTCATGTTCGTGCGGCAATTCAATCGGCGATCGCTGCGGGTCGGCAGCCATCCAAATGTGTGCACCACAGTCACGTGAGCCACAGAGGATGTAGTCGCCACAGGGGCTAAAGGCGCTCCGCATGTAGAAGCTGCCCTTGAAGGCCGGCGGTGGTGCACGCCACGAGGCCAGCGGACCAGACATGAGGCGGCTGAGGGAGAAGAGGTGGTGTTGCGAGTCCAGGCAGCTCACCAGCAAGCGGTCACCTGCAAGAGAACATTCAGATCAGAGCTATCATTACCCTTATGCATCTGGCGCCGGCGGCTTGTCCGGTGCTTGGATTATGGCTGCCAAGCCGTCATCCATATCTATTCTTAGTGCCTCAATAATCAAGACTGGACTTAAATAAATATAGGCATCACGCGACAGGAAGCATAGGGTGCAACAACAAACACGGCACGCGTACCTGAATCCGACACAGTCAGGTGTGTCACTCCCACAGCTGAGGCACGAGCTGGACACGTGAACTCAGTCACCTCGTGCGGAAGACCGCATGACCTGGTGTCAGCCGACTTGGCCTTGTGCCCGGAAGCGCGACCTGAAGGGTGCACGGTTGGCAGGTTAGTGCACAACGCATCAGATACACCACTTGTCGGCATAAATTTCCACGCGTCCCGTTCAGGCAAACAGATACACCTTTCCTGAAGCGCACACATATACCTTCTCTGGGTCGTGGACCTTAAATCAGGACCTGATGACCCACGAACACAGTCGGTAAGGAGCGTCGGCAGCTTACCTGCACAGCCGGCTTTGGGTAGCTCCAAGTCGCACAGCGGTAGACCATGCATCCGCAGGTCCCAAACCTTGACGACTGTGTCATGCGCCCCCGCCGAGGCTAGCAAGTAGGAGTACGGCAGAAAGGCGACAGATGTCACAGTTACGGATGCGGGCTTGGCTATCTTTGTAGAGGCCCTGCCGCTGGTTGTTGACGGCCGCGTGTGTGCGTTGTCCTGGACCCACACTGGCGACAGGACCGGTGCATTGTCCAGATCCGTGCCCGCCTGAGTCCGGCGACCAACAGGCGGTGCCTGACCACTGAAACCCGGGCAGCGCGCATCCCAGAGCATCATGCGTCCGTCCCGCGCACCTGAGGTTACATCACGTACACAAGGACTCAGCACCAGGAAAGCGAGCTTGCGAGGGCAGCGTCGCTTAACACGCACCTGTTGCAAAAACGTCTTCGCACAAATGTAATGGGGAGATGCACTTGACCGAGCCGTCGTGGCCCTCCGCCACCGCCAAAGCCCTGGCAGTATCGGTGTCCCAAACGCCTACTTGCTGGTGACCTGAAGCTGTATAAAGTACTGCATCGCCCTGCGTACGCAGCGAAACAGATCATCAACGGTGAGATGGTTTGGCGTTGCAACTGACGCCCTTGCATAACCCCTACCTTGGCCCAAGCAAGGTCGAATATGCTGTTCCGGTGGCAAGACCAGTGTGCCCGGGGTCGCCAGCTCCCATCACGAGCTCCCTTTTCAATGGCGGTCATGCTTTCCGTGTTTGCTACGGTAACCACTCCCTCTTCCCCGCCTACCGCCAGCAGCTGGCAGTTGCTTAGGGAAGTGTTCTGCGATAGTGTAATAAAATAAGGTCTGCCTTAAGTTTGCAAGCATGACAAAAGGTGAAGTGGAAAACACGCTAAAACTCCAAGGTGGATCCGCCAGCGGACCTAGAGGCAAGCACGGGAGAATTTTATGCACACCTTGTTAAACTTCGCGACAATTGGTAAACCAGCGGTGACAATGCCTGGAGCAATTGGAATAATTGATGCCTTTGCATCGAAAGATAGCTGGGAAAGCAAGTTCGCCTGCTGTTGTTGATGGCTGGCAGCCGGGCCATATCCACCTGCGCGTTGAAGCGTAGCAATTATAGACTCCATATACTAAATGGACGATGGAGCATCACAATTGCTTACAGCCGCCAAGCCGTCCAATTTCGCGGTTTAGCAGTCCTTGAGCAAGACTCTGGCCGCGCGGAGGCATCCTCGCGCCGAAGTCCGTTTGTGGTTGATGGCTAGAGGCGCTTACCCAAACTGAACATCAAAAGGTGTGGATAATAATTGATCCTCTCCGGCGTGGCTCTTACTCCGCAACAGGGCTGTCACTTGGCGAAAGGACTTCCTCAAGCCCGCCCTAAAGCCAGATCGATTAATCTATTAAAGCTAACTGGCGGAACATAAAATACTTTCTTAACGGCTGCGGGTGTAATCGGTGGCAAAGCTGGCAGGCAAAGTCCGTGCGTCCCGTACTGGATTTAAATTAATCAACATGCGGCAGATGCAGGGGAGACTGTAGCTTTTAACGACGCATGTAGTGGTATGTTGAGCTGCGCTAATGATGTTACCTCAATTTGCCGAACTTCCAGGTTTTGCGAACAGTCTTATCTGTAGACAGAGTTTTCTTTTTCCAGTTGCACTACAGGGCAATACATAAACCTACCGTTTACTTATAGCTTCGTTTGGAATATCTCTTAACATTCCCTTTTGCAGCAGCCCCGCCATCCCGCCGGACAGGCTCAGTAAGACTGTGCTAAGTAGGGTTTCGCAGCTCCCAAAAGAATTGCATCCCATACGAGCACCCATACCATGCAGCGCAACGCCTCAGAATCTTGGGTTGCTGCCCCTGAACAATTCCTCGCTGTTTGACAGACACGAAGCACGCAACACCATCCGCCGTACGGTATCAAACCATGGAGACGAGCTCGGCAGCATGGCCATTCCCGGTGGCCCCGCCCGTGATTCGCAAGCTTGATGAAAACGTCGTCAACAAGATCGCAGCAGGAGAGGTTATCCAAAGACCCGCCTCAGCACTGAAAGAAATGCTAGAGAACTCGCTCGACGCAGGCGCCACCCAGATTAGCGTCCTGGTGAAAGAGGGCGGCAACAAGCTCCTCCAAATCACTGATAATGGATGTGGTGTGCGGGTAAGTGCACACCAGGACACACATACGCACAGCACATACGCACAGCACATACGCACATACGCCTTGATGCCCCGGCAGCGCTACAGCCCTGGGGCAGCCACCAACCACATACAAACGTGGCGGACCGTGCACTCAAAACACTGCGGAACGGGGCTTCCAATCCCTTTCGTCCAGTACGAATGCGTGAACTGGCTAATAGCATCCTTTGGACATTATCCCATTACCACCCGATGCTCCTCTTTTACGTTATAGCGCACGCGCACCTAGTTGTTCCCGTTTCTGCCCCGGACGGCTGTCCCGCAGGAATCCATACAACCCACATACGGAACATACCGGGGCTGTATCACACACGTATCCCCCATACCGGCAGCCGCCTTGTGCCGCCACCGCGTTCCCTCGCTCTCGCGCGACCACCCTTTGCTGTGCACTTGGCTCGCCGCATCCACATCCACACTCTCTTTCCGTACCCGCAGAAAGAGGACCTGCCTATCCTGTGCCACCGCCACACCACCTCCAAGCTGCGAGAGTATGAGGACTTGGAGACTATCTCCACGTTGGGCTTCCGGGGGGAGGCGCTGTGCTCCATCAGCTTCGTATCGCACATGACTGTGACGACCATGGCCCGAGGCGCGCAATACGGCTATAGGGTTACGTATAAGGTGCGGGTGTGTGTGGGGACCAGCGCGTTTCGTGGGTTGTGGAAATCGGCGTAGAGGGAATGTGGGTCCCTAAACGGCTGCTTCACCCCTCGGCGCTGTGGAGCTGGAGGTCGCATGGCGCAGAGATGGGAGAGGGATTTGCGGTGCGCATTTTGCAGTGCGATGGTTAATGCTGCAAAGATAATTTTAAAAACGCAAACGCATGGCACCGGCAAGACTCATTGCCGTACGACATCAGCAGGAGCCGCTTTCCAGGGAAGCCGTTGGTCCAGCAGCTGTCCTCCAGCATTGCCATGCGCCGAACCGTGCTTAACTAACCGGGACACCCCATCAAACGTTACGCCGTGGAGCTTCTCCTCTGTCCACCAAGGCAGCTACCGCGCCCCTGCTGGCCATTGTCTGTAAGGTGCACATGCTGCATTCCTCAGTGTCAGTGATGGTGCACTGGCGGCGTGGCGTGTATCGACTCCTTGCAACTCCCCCTGCCCCAACTCCCCGGGGGCCCTAGGACAGCGAGATGGAGCCCCCTGGGCCCCGACCTGTGGCCTCAGTCCCGGGCACCACCATCACCGTAGAGGACCTCTTTTACAACGTACCCACGCGGAGAAAGGTGGGTGGGGAGAGGCACGGGAGGGAGAGGAGGAAGTTGAAGACCCGATAATGTGCAATTGGTTTATCCATGTTACCATTCGAACCCAATCCGTTTCCTCGTCCCCGAGATCCGCGAGGGCGTCGTCTTACAAGCCTTAGGGTGTGCTGCATCCTACCGCGGCCAGGAGATGCAAGGAGCCTTGTCGGAAAGGCACTCTGCGCCTGCCCTTGCAATGTCCACTCGTGCACCTACCCACGTGCCCACTCCGGGCGGGCTTCCGCAGGCCCTCAAATCGGCTAACGAGGAGTATGGATTAATTCTGGACGTGGTGGGGCGTTACGCTGTGTACAGCACGGGTGTGGCCTTCAGTTGCCGCCGGCAGGGCGACTCCCGACCCGACATCTCGACCACCGCCACCGGCTCCAGGGTGGATGCCGTACGTTCCGTGTACGGTGTTGAGGTAGCACGTGAGCTGCTGTCGCTCAAGGTGGCGGTCGGGTCCGGCACGGGACCCGATGTGCCGGTAGACGGACCCATGGGTCTCAGTGTTGAGGTATGTGCGCACGATGTCTGGGGCCGCTCGGGAAGACAACATTGGAAAAAAAGTATAGTAGTGTTTGTGAACACACCTCCTCGAGGGGCGTCGCACTACACCGACTCCGTCCAGGTCGGACGTCAGCACAAGAAGGCGGTTACGGCCAGCGAGCCACTCCCCACACCGCACACTACATCGCGCTTCCGCACTTTCCCCTCTCGTTAGGGATGCGTCTGGGTTCACCTCTCCCCCCCCCCTGCCTGGGCTGGCTGACCGGCCTGCCCTGCCACTCCGCTGGGACGCACTGGCCCCAACAGGGCCTCATTTCCGGTGCCAACTACAGCACCGGCAAGAAGACGGTGCTGGTGCTCTTCATCAACGGGCGCTGTGTGGAGTGTAGCCCTCTGCGGCGGGCGCTGGAGGGGCTCTACGGGGCCCTGCTGCCTAAGGCCTCGCGACCCTGGATCTTCCTGGACGTGCGGCTGCCTCCGCGTCAGGTGGAAGTTAATATGCACCCCACCAAGCGGGAGGTGGGCTTCATGCACCAGGTAAGGGTTCAGGCGGGGTCAGCCAGCAGCAGCGACTCGGAATGGACGAGGATGGAAGGATGCTCTGTGTGCTCCGTGCCCAGTCCTTGTGGCGCTCGGGAACGATAGAGCGAGCAAAGGAGCGAATGAACCCCAGGTCGCGATGCACAAACCTCCTAGGGCTCTCCTCGTTCTCCCCAAATTCCGCTCAACGTTACCATGAATCGGCGCCTAAGTCGGTGTGCAAGTTGACAGTCATCTTTTCCTCATGCTATTCTCCTCCCCCCGCCCTCTTGAACTCGTTTCCGCTTGCCTTCTCCTCGTACTTCACCTACCTCACCTCGCCTAGGCTGAGGTCATTGAGGCGATCCGGCAGGCGGTGGAGGCGAAGCTGCTTGCATCCAATGAATCCCGCACCTTCGCTACCTCGGCCACGCTGCAGACGCAGCTGCCCTTTGCATCGCTGCCGCTCACGCAGCGCCAGTCGCTGCCTGCGCCGGGTCGCAGCATCTTGGTGGAAGGGGGCGACGGGGAGCTGACAGGCGAGCTGGGCGGCGAAGGCGATGCTGATGGAGAGGGTGTGGACGATGTTGAAGAAGGCGGTCCTACAGGAGAGAAGGAAGAGCAGGAGGGGGGAGGTGGCAGTGGGCGAAAGCAGCTCCGGGGGAAAGCAGCCGCTGCCCAGACGCCGGGGACAAGGGTGCAGCAGGGCAGCGGGGGCCTGGATCTAAAGCGGCCGCCCTCGGGAACAGAGCCTTTGCCGTACCGGCCAGAAAAGCTTGTGCGCGTGGATTACAGGTGCATGGCTGAAGGTTCTTATGAGTGCGCATGAGTGACATGCTGATTGCCTGCCGCTGTTAGACATGGCGTTGAAGACCCAGCCCTTTGAAGCATATTCACATAAAGCATAAATGTGTGAATGCAAGATTCGAACGTGACTCATGCGGTACATCTAACAAATAGGCCTTTGTTGGTGGCCGGTTTGTTGATGGCACGGCCTTTCTTGCGTCACCCCAGGTCCGGTACGCTTGACACCTTTGTCATCTCCAAGACTGCTGCGGATGGTGGCGCCGCCTTTGTTGACGCCGCACGTGCTGTAGCGGCCGGGGGCAGCGTGGCCCGCAAGCGCTCCGCAGCAGCACGCCTGGCTCCGGGTGCGGGAAACCCCTTGGGCGGCTTACTTGCGGATGCCTCTAGCGGCGAGGCGCAGCAGCAGCAACACCCGGAGTCGCAGTTGCGACCGGCCCGGGCTGCGCCTCCCGCGCTGGTCACGGCTGAGGTGCTGGGAGTTGGGCCCTTCGTGGGCGGGGTAGGTGCGAGGTGGTGCGTGACTGTTGATGCCTCTTGGCCTCTCGTCTCGCCTCTTGTCCTGCTCCGGGTACACGGGTCCTGGTGTGCTATGGAGGCCATGGCACCAATCGCCATGGCACTGCTGCCCAGGCGGGGCTCTGGGGTTGCGGTCACTTGAGTTCCCTGGAGAAGGGGTGTGTACATGTTCCAACGGGTAGAAGGCAGGGAAGCGCCGGGGAGGCCATATAAGAGACGCCTTAAAGGAGGCCATATCATCGGACACTAGCGCCCGGCCTGCTTCAGACTGGAACGTGCATTATGGACTGAATGGGGCAGTCTCAGAACTGCCCAGTTCCGGCGTCATGGGCTGCACAACTGCATGGTGGCCCCACAGGATCAAGGCGGAGGACGCCCACAGGACGGCGACCCGCCAGCTGCGGGCCGAGTGCCACCACGGCGGGCCCCGCCGCCGCTGGTGACCGCAGATCCGGCTGTTTTGGAGCTTTGGTCCGAGGTGGAGTCTGAGGCGCACTCGGGGCTGGGGGAGCTGCTGCGGGAGCACACCTTTGTGGGGATGGTGAGGGGGCTAGGGTTGTGACACTCTTTTAAGAGTTGATAGGTGGACGGGCAAATGATGTGACTTCCTTCGCCCCTCTCCCATGCACATGCTCACCAGTAGCAGCAGCATGCATGCGCCAAAGGGAAGCGCGGAAGACATCTGGGACCACTAGCGGAGCCTCGGCGTAATGGAGCTTAGGCCGGAGTTTGAAGTCCATCCAAGCGGTTCGGTGGCAGGGGGTCCGGTCGCAGCTACTGTTTCCATCCCTGTGACCCTCCATCCCTCGCCACTTCCCGTAGCATTCCATGATTTGGTCGTTACCTTTACCAGCCACTCCTCCTCTCACCCGCACTCTCACTCCTCCCGCTCCTCATCGTCCTTAGGCCGATGGCAGCCTGGCGCTGCTCCAGCACGGCACCCGGCTCTACCTGGTGGACGTGGGGACCCTGAGCCGGGACATGTTCTATCAGCTTGCTCTCAGAAGGTGAGGTGAGATGAAGGTATGCTGACCCAGGGCTCCGCTGTACACCCTTGCTGTGCTCCACACCGGCGTCCTGGGCCCCGTCTTCTGTCCACTCCCAGAACAGTTACATGTGTGCAGTGTGCCTGCGTGTCGGAATGGAATGTGGTGCACATGATTGATTTTGCGTGTTGCTCAGATGGGAACAGCCTCTGAAGCTGGATCTGGAGCCCCCACCGCTTGTCTCGGAGCTGGTGGCGCTGGGACTGCGGATACTGGAGGTCAAGGGCGAGTGGCAGGTCGGTCGTTTAGCGGTTGCGGTGAGCACGGGGTGGCAGCGGAGAGAGGCGTTGTGTGCCGGGAGCCCGGGGCTGGTGCAGGAGTGCAGCGCTGTGTGGCTGAAAAATTCGATAACCCCGCTGCGTGGGTGAAGGGACAGACGGACGGTTTGTTGAAGCGCCGTTGCCGAGAACCTCTACGTTTTTGCGAGCTCCGCAAGGGGGCCGTAGTGACCCGCTGAGATGTGTTTGACCGTGTTGCGTGCCTCTGCTCTCGCACGGATGCTTGTTCCAGCGAACACGGCGCTTTATGTCGCCCCAAGCCCATCGCCCAATCGCGTCCTGGCGTCACGCGCATCAGTGAATGTGGCGCTATGCGATCTTCCTCGATGCCCTACGGAACGTGCAACACATCGATGACGAAGGAAGCCTCGTGGCTCCGCCCCTCGCCCCCCTCTTCCCCCAGCCCGAGGACGGCTCTCCCGAGGAGCTGGGTGAGCTGGTGACGGAGCTGCTGCGGCAGAACGGTCCTGCGCTGGAGATGCAGCTGGGCCTGGTGGTAGACCAGCAAGGCAGGTGACGGTCGGAAGCTGCTAGGGAGTAGGCACAATGTCTCCCGCAGTAGCGCTTCCCAGTAGTCATGTGGAGGCTCTGCGGTGGTCCTTATAATGCTCCGATTGAAAGGAACTACGTAAAAAAAAGGAACTACGGGATCTCCATACGTGGCTACAGCAGCCACCGGTGACTAACCAAAAATGTTTGCCTTGAGGCTGTCGTCCCACCGCCTGCGTGTGGCATGTAGCAGTTGCGCTCGGCACACTCCTTCCGCATTTTTATCCTTCCAGTCGCATCCTTTTATGCCCGCCAACTGCACGCGCACAGCCATTGTTGTGGCTATCTTTTGCGGTTTCTGAGCCGGCCTATGCCCCAAGGTCCGCGGTGCTTGTCCTCCCCCAGGGCGGCTTCAAAGCGTGCCTCTGCTGCTTGAGGGTGTCACTCCCGACCCGGCCCGTTTGCCTGACTTGGTGGTGGCGCTAGCTAAGGACGTGGACTGGGATCAGCCGCGGGCACGGGCACATGCCATTGCGACAGTGAGAGGTCTGGGTTTAGGTATATGGGCGGTGCGAACATCTTACTTCAGCGCCCAGAGGGCCAGGAACCGGACAATGGTGCAAGAGGGCGTGGCTCGTAACGGGTGGACGTTTTGTAGGTGCTGCGTCGAACGGCGGAGTTTCGGGTGGGGCCCGAAGAGTGGGCAGAGGTGCCCCTTGCGGGACACCTGACAGGTTGCACGGGGTCCTTGTCCCTTGCAAAGCGGCTGTGCGCCGTTCTTCGTCCAATGAGATTATGATGCGGACACCGATACTTGAGCCAATCCTGTGAGGTCGGCACGCTTGATGTCGTGCGTGGCTGTGGTGTTGTGCTTCGCCCTTGGTCACCATTGTATTTGACTGAGATTCACTTTGCAGTAGGCCCTTAGGGGTCATGTTTTCACCTGCGAGATCCAAGCAGTGCCCCCTTACGTCACATGCCGGGATGAGTTGCTTAGGGATGGGCACCTGTGGAGTGCATCTCACGTGGGACCCATCGTCCCTCTCAGTACAGGCATTGGCCGACCTGTACGCTGCTCGTCCCCCACTGCTGGCGGAAGCCGCTACCGGTTCTGGCGTTTCTGGTGACCCACCCTCGTCGTCTCCGGCGTCGAAGGAGCCGGACGCAGTAGCCAGTCACCTTCAGAGCGGGCCAGCGGGGTCAAACAGCCGAGGCCAAGCGTCTAGCTCCCATGAGGGGCGTGGTTCGCAAGACGTCTTGCACGCTGACCCTGGGTCGAGATCGGGTAGGGAAGCTGGCGTTGATGGCCACTTAGAAGATGTTGGCCGTGACAATTGCGTAGGGCCAGTGAGCAGAAGCGGGAAGCCTGGTTTCGACAACTGCGTTAGGGGCTTGCGACATCCCCAGGAAGGGGTTGGAGTCGTGCAAGAAGATATTGTCATTGCAGGGGTGGAGCAGTGCAGGGGAGCGATTGCAGAAGACAGGGACAGCCCGTCGGGCGAAGGGCATGGCGCTACACGGACGCAGAGGGCCGCGCCGGCAGTTCAGTCGAAGCCGACAGCAGATGGGGGGGAGCTGCAGCAGGGAAGTGAGCGAGCATTGGCTGTTTATGAATATAAGATTAAGCACGTAAGTGGTGGAGGGGATTTCTTTCGGCTTTGGGGCACATCAGGTAGGAATTGCCGATGTTTGACGCCGATGTTTTGCTATGCTAATCAGCTCCACGACGCCTTGCCGCCTGCCACAGTGCGTCTTTCACTGACCGCACTCCGACACGCATCCGTACTGCCTCCAGGCTATCCTGCCGGCCCTAAGGGGCTGTTTAAAACCTCCGCGCGGACGAGCCACGGATGGCAGCTGCGTGCAAATTGCGGCGCTGGAGCGCCTTTATCGCATTTTCGAGCGCTGCTGATGGACGACAGTTTATGTATTGTTATGCTGTAACGTTGCTGCACACGAGTGTCGGGCTTGGCTGAAACCCTGGCAGCCCTCACAGAGCTTTTGTGAGTGTCCTTTAAGCGATGGTGACCTCATACCGCATGCCTCATACTTCAGATGAGGGATGTATCAGAGCGCACGTAATCTTGGCGTTAGCTGCAACAGTAGCATGCGTCTATGAGTGGATTAAAGGCACTGGCCAGCCTGGAGTAGTAAAACATTGTGCAGGTAAACAGACGGCATTTTATGGTGCCTTGCGGTCGTGTGTCACACATGGGCTGCTGACACTGGATGCAGTGGAAGGCATTACAAGTCGTCCCAAGGGGCCATTTTGCCACGTGACCAGGTTCCATTGTGCAACGAGTTGCAAAATTTAGTTCTGTTCGGCAGTCCGGCAGCTATAGGTAATGCACTAGGCCAGGTAAAAGGAGCTTCATACAGCTCAATAGCTCAGTCTGAGGTCCAGTCAGGTCCGAAGTCAAATCACAGACTGCGTTTAACGCCACAAGTGTTATGCACAGATGTCGCCTGGTCCGCGTAACTTGGGCAGCATACGGCAGCGATGCACGCCCGTCTATAACCCCTTCAAGCCAAGCTCTGCTAGGTTAAAAGCTGCCGTTCCAGTAACGAAGAGTATGCGTCAGCTGGCCAGTCCGGCTGACCGGCTATGCTGGCTGGCTGGCTGGCTCAAAGGTCGTCGGCGCGCACGTACGCCAGCGGGCCACTGCTGGGCGGGTGCCATGACACCTCGCCGCTGACCTTGTTGAAGAAGTACGAAGCGCCACCATCCGGGTCCTCCAGCTTGTTCCAGGCCAGCTCCTTGGGCACCTCCCACACACTCTCACCGGTCTCAATGTTAAACCAGTAAGGCTGGTCATGAGCTGCGGGAGTCGCAAGCGCGCAGCAAAGGGGTTTTAGTAATCGCCTAATGAACATGATGCAAACAAAGATAACGCATGCTGAATTAGGAACTGAAAAACCCAACCTTTACGGCACTTACTCTCGTCCTTCAGCTCGCGCCATGCTGTCGAGTAGGCGGGATCCGTGTAAGAGTATTCCTTGGTGGCCTGGTTGTACCAGCGCTTGTTAATATGGCGCTCCAGGTCGGCGACCATGTCAGCCGGCAGCTCAACCGGTGTGCTGGTTGAAGACACACCCGCTGCCCAGTTGAGCCACAGCTCCTTGCCGTTCTCACCACGAACCTTGGCCCAAGCCAGAGCCGGCGGGACGCTGGTAACCTCCTGGCCCGTCACCGAGTTGATGTACCTGCGCCAGGGAGGGAATGGTGTTTGATAGTTTTTGAGGGGCGACGCGGGTTCACCTCACCCCTCCCGGCTTCGGGCGTGCTGGACAAGTGCGAGCAAGCGGTAGGCCAAACGTCGTAACACGCTGCAACTGCAACTTGGATGCTTAATGGAGGTTATGGCAGTTCCAATTCCGAATGCCACAGCTGGTATCCCGCCGTAGTCTAAGTAAGAACTCAGCGGCCAAAGGTAAAAACCCGTTGCGAACTTTAGGCACCTACTGCCGGCGCTATACTTGTGACCCTGACCTACTTGATAGGGTGGCCCTGAACGGTAATGCGTTGCCAAGCGCAGCTCGGGGGCGGGGTCCAGCGGGCCTCACCGGTCGAGGGAGACCAGTAGTAGGTCGAGCCTGGACGGATATGAAACAGCCAGAGGGCGGAGGCTTGGCCTCACAAGTGGTACTGGAAGGCCTCGATAATGGGTAACCACGTAAACACACCGCCTAAACCCTAAGCCTGTCCCGAGGGAATTTTAACATCCTCGCCGCGAAACATTTATTGCGATAAACGCTAATCTAAGATGTCAAAATGGGTTGACCGGTCAAGCCAGATGCGGCTGCGGCATCGGTGCCCAATCATGCTTTTTCCAGGTAAGAAAAACGAAGTCATGGATATTCAAGGGTAAGTCGCTCGGCCAAGCCTCTGCCGCATTGCTCACCGTCCTTCTCCTCCTTCAGCCAGCTGCCAGGCACAGACTCGAACGCAAGCGGCCCCTTCTCGTCGTAAAGCTTGAGGATCTCCGAGAGCTCCTTGCCGCTGGCAACAGCGCGGGCAGCCGTGCCACTCTTGTCCGTCTGCGTGACACCAACGGGCCAACAACCCTCAAGGAAACCGCGAACGTTGTCCATGCCGCTGTGAGTGTGAATTTAATCTAATCCACATTGAGGCAAGGGCAAAAATTCAAGGGATATGCGGGGAGCAAGCACAGGTAGGTGCAATAGTAAGCGTACAGCCTTACCGCGTCGGGGTTGGCACCATGTGCAAGCAGGAGGCGAGCGATGCCAGGCAGGCTTTCCTTGAACGCCACGTGCAGAGCAGTAACCCCCGTCGCGGGCTCGTGGGACTTCGCAAGAGCGCCCTGCTCAAGCAGCGCCAGGACTGCAGCTTGGTCCTTCGACCGGACGGCCTCAATCAACGGAAGTCGCCGTGCAGAGTCCGGGGTGTTGACATCCAAGCCTTTGACGCTCAACTCCTCCAGAAGCGTTGCCATCTTCTTCTACAGCGGTGCAGATGCGCGGTTACCGCACACGGAAGCTTCGTCGGCGACAACCCCGCCACGCGCCCATACACAGGTTCGGGGTTTTTGGACAATCACATCTTCTGAAACAGCCACACATTCCAAACGTGTTGTCGAATAATCATCCTCATCCCTCCAATTTTCACCTTCGACGACTGGATCGCAACGAATTGCTGTGCGCACGCCACCCACCTTCTTTATGGCAGCAACGAGCTTGTCCGTCGATGGCTTAGATGCCACCGCAATCAAGCTAATGGCGCAAATTGTGACGATTAATAATTGCACCCGTGCCATGGTGCAACGTCGGCCAATGCAGCAAATGATATGATCAGTATGCGCAGCAATTGATTTTGTGTATGAGTATATAAATTCTGGTCAGGTTTTGTAACCATGCAAGCTGTCATGTATGTTGTGTTGGCGAAACTTGCACGGAGCTACTTCCGTGCAAACACGATCCTGGTACCAAAACTAGGCGAGGAAGACGTCATTTTAACTGTTATATAAATCTATATCCTGATCAAAAGGCTAAAAAGTTAAATTATATGATCGGAGAAAGATTGGTCTGTTGCAAGCTGGCTTCGTGGGCAGGCAGGGACAGGAGCTGATCGCCTTAGGACACAAGCGATCACATGAGCATTATGGCCTATATATATGTAAGGCTGCTGCGACCCAAATCCCAAGCAACCGAAGGTATTGGAACCGTCAACCAGTATGCCGCTGTCGGAGCTGTAGTGAGCTGTCGGCTTAACGCCGTAAGCTTCACAGACAGCTTTCGTGCATGTCTGCGTAGAAAGAGATTATCCAGGCTTTAAAACAGGTGCTACATGGGAAGAGATGCTGCGTAGCGTGCCAGTAATCTTACTGACAACAAGTGGAACTGTTCTGAATCAACGGACAGACATGGACAGGCGTTGTCCATGCCTGAAGTGAGCGGTTCCAACATGACAACATAAACCGCAGAAAGCGATAGGAAGCTACCAGCTGAACGGGGCAGCGAATCGCGATCTGCGCGTTACTCAGCCTCTCAGGCCTCTCAACAGTCTAGCGTGACGACGCACTGACAAACATGGCAGCCTCGAAAGCACAGCCGGGTCAGGCGTATTGCACCTCCACCAAAATCGTCAAACGACCTACACCAAGAGAGTTAATCTCACCATGCATTTTGCAAACCCATTACCTCAGCCATGTTGATGGAGTGGTCTTCGTGTGACAACACCACACAACCCACTCCGCAGCTCTGACCACCGTCTACGTGCACCCCCCGGGTCCGCCACAACCCCTTTCATCATCATTGTGCCAGGGTACACTGGCCAACCGAACGTTTGGGCCTCATGACAGGGTAGCTACAAGCCAGCATTCGGACAGAACAATTGAGAAATATGAATGCGGTTGTTTCTCAGTGATCCAACGTCAAGTCCAACCTTAAGTTGCGCCCATTCACAAACAATGCGCGCGTTCCGTATGGTGCCGAGTGGAAGGCGGCATCTATCTAGGGCTGCGCCGTAAAACTGCAGGCTTATTGCCTCATGTGGGTCGCCTCGTGGCAATTTAAGCCAAGGCACTAGCTCTATGATTTGACTGGCAAGAAATGCGAACCGCATGCGGGTGTGAGGAGATTAGGCGCCGCGAACTGGAATCCATGTGTCGTGGTCGACGTACACTGAAAACTAAATGGCGCGCGATAACTAGCAACTGCGATGGCCCCCATGTTGTATGGGGATTAAGTTATTCAACTTCCCTTGCATGCTCAAAGGTACCCAAGAGGGCGCTAAAAATAAAACATAATGGTCACTATGGTTTTGGCGAAGTCGGTCGACCGTTAAATCCCAGGTCTCCCACTTGAGCCAAGAGTGCAGTGTAGCTACTGCCGTGACTGCTGTGTAACTATCATACATATCTACAATATGTCCATGGGACACGCCATAGACAACTTAGCTAACCAAGGAAAATCGCTATGCACGCTACGCACATGCATGATGTGTTATGCGTGATGTGTTAAATCTCACGTAGGCCTACCTAGTTCGAAATGGGGGACAGCAAGAATTCATGCATAACTTTGACACACAGGTTCAGTCCGGGAGGCAGCGCGGTCACATCCACACGATATGCAGCTCAACAATACAATCGTACAACAAGTCGAAAAGGCAATCTTACCCCGCGCATTGGTGGCGGGCCTAGCAACCGCAATGCCAGGAGGTGCACAACTAGCACGACGCGAACTAGATGCACCGGAGCACGGGTCCAATTCCAAGCTTTCCATGATACAGCATCCTCACGACGCCTTGCCTGATGCAGGCATCGCTTCAAGCTCATCATAGTCATAAGCATCATACTTGACACCGGGCCGTTGCAAACAATCCGAAAAGAGCCTCCGCGCCTTGGCAAGGAACCCGACATGCTGGTGCGCTGTGCCTGGCACATCAGGAGTACCCGCACCCGCGGTATGGCCGGTCTCGCCAATGGGCTGCCCAGCAGCCCCAGCGGAGCTTGCCATGGAAGACCGAGTCCGGCTGCTCATATCACCTAGCCGACTAGCCGTACCGGCGGCAAAAGCCTCTGGCGGCGGCGGTACCCAGGATGATGGGGGTGGCATTGCCGTCGACTCTGGTCCCTCGCTGTTGCGCCCGTCGCTGCCAGGTTGATGATGCCACAAAGGGGCGCCCCGAGGTGCCGCCCAAGAGCTGCGATTCCCAGTGAACACGTCGGTTGCTACAGCTGCGCTTAACGGGCCACCAAACCCAGCACCGGACATCGCGCGATGGTGCTGCAGCGGCAAAGGCTGCAATGGATGGCTGCCGGAATGGACGCCGAAGAGATCATGAAGGCTCGTGTGGTCGTAGCGGCGGCTGCCGGGACTAAGCTGTGGTCCCGTTAGAGAACGGCGTGAGAGCCGGGGTGAGGGGTGCTGAGAGCCGGAGCCATCTCGTTTGCCCTCTGCCTCAACAAAGCGCCCAGAAGCAAAGACATCGGATGGCCCCGTGTGTGCATAAATGCTGGCGGTGTTGGCATGCCGTATGGCCCCAGCTGCGTCCGCAGCGGTGGCGGCCCCTGCAGAGGTCGTTGACAGGGGTCCAGCGGCGCCAGGCTCGGACGGCACGGACGCGAGCCCCGGGGGCGCAGCGGATCGCGAGGCCTGCGGCGGCGGCTGCTGCTCAACCTTGGGAATGCCCGGAGACGAGGGATGGGCGTCTGGCACCTCGTCTGGGAAGAGCAGCAGCAGGTCGGCTACACGCATGCCTTCAGCCGCATGCTGGACTATCTGCTGACCTGCTTGCTGTGCTGCCCGCTGAGGTGCTCCTGGATGAATTGCTACGGCGTCCGCAGAGCTCCGCCTTGGCACCAAGGCGCTAGAAAGCGGAGCCCACGGACCGCTTCGCCGCGCAGGCTCGCTCTCCTCTCGGTCCTCACCGTCAAGTAGAGGCCTGTAGGAGCCGCCATCGGCGACGCCTGGCTCTCCCCTGCCGCTGCCCGGTCCCCAGTGAGGCCAATGCAAGCCCCCCTCCCCTACCAGCGCTGACACGCCGCGTGCACGGTTCACAACGCTCGTCGCTGCAGCCGCGATTACTGACCCAGCCGAAGCCAGCCCTAGACCCGCCACCGCTGCTGCTGCGGCGTTGCCTCCATCGGACCCCAGCGCCTGCACGTCACGCGCTCGGCGCTGCAGTTGCATCAGCGCTTGCATGTCGATTGCCAGCTCCGGAAAGCGGTCCGCCAGCTTGCTGAGCAGTTCCGGCCTGACCACCTCGCAGGCGAGCACCTGACGTAACTGCCAGCGGCGATTTGGGTCGGGTTGCAGCAGGCCGCGGATGAGCGCCTTGATAGGCTCGGAAACACGCGCACCTTGGGGGAAGGTGATGCGGCCGGCCAGCACGGCGCGTCGGATGGCAGCCTCCATGCGCTCGCCACTGCCCTTCTGCCAGGGCCACCAACACTGCTTAAAAGGCCACGCGCCACCCTGCAGCAGCTGGTAAAGGACCACGCCGAGCGCCCACCTGTGATGAACCGCCAAACAGTATAGTAAACGAAAGATAAGATTGTGGTCACGACGTCATGAACATTAGGTCCTGGCATTGGGATCGGCGTATCCCGACGCCTGGAGTAAGAAGCAACGGCTAGAGCGAAGCAGACTGCAGGAAGAGCCGTAAGGGTGGGTGCGCGGGAGGTACGGGATGTACGGCAAGGGGCTACTTCGCGGCTCCGTTCGGGACAGGGAAACAACCCATGTCAGCTTCGGTTAGCCTTCGCTGCTGCTGAGGGAGATTCGGATGCTCTGCCTGAGGATATGCCTACAGCACGCCCCTTGCCATCGCAGCGCTCCTTGTGCCCCGGTCACCTTCCACGACGTGACGTGTCCACGCAGACAACACCCGTGCGGAATGCTCACCAGTCGCCTGCACGACCATCGTCTCCGTGCCTCAAGCCCGCAGGTGACATAGTCCAGGGAGTACCCGCCACCGCCCGCGGCGTGACGCCCTCCACATGCGCCAACCCAAAGTCCATAATCTGCACCTTGCCTCGGTTGTCCATAAGAAAGTTGGGGAGCTTGATATCTGCGGACCACCAAATAGGTGGCCGTATGCGATAGGCAGACCATGCGGGCCCGAGCAGCTGCACTCAGGAGCTCCACACACAACTGGCACTGCATAGGCCCAGCCAAGCAAGGGGCTTACGGAACCGACGCAAGCACTAGCTCCAGTCCCAGGCACTCACCCTTGTGGACAATGCCATGTGCATGGCAGCGGTGCACCGCATTCACCATCTGCAGCCACACGCTAAGCACCTCCATCTCGTCCACCTGCGGGTCAACCGGCGCGGCCGGTGAACACTGTCAGTCGAAGTGGTCTGCCAGGCAGGGTCACGCACGCGCGCTGTTGCTGCTGCTGGCGCACTTGGCCTCCCTTGCCGCACGTCCGTGTCCGAGTTACGCACTAGCCGCAGTGGCAGCGGTGCTCCACATGCACGATGTGTATCGTAGATGTTTATGACCAGGGGCGGGATGGCCGTCGCGGTAGAACCGCAAATCCTACAGCCAAATCAATAACACCAACAGCCCACCGTTGCTGCGGTAGCATTCGAGGTAACCACACCGCCGCACCTGTGACTGCGGCGGACCCTGGCACGGCTGCGGCATTGGTGATGCAGAGAAGAGCCATTCCTCAACGCTGCAGGCCGCAACGGGCATTTGCAGAACCGCCATATAGGTAGTTATCCTTGTATCTCGCTGCAGATCGGATGCGCGAAAAGGAATGCGACGAACAGGACACGGAGCGTGCTTTGAAGGAAGGAATAACAAGAGACAAGCATAGCTGCCAAGCCGGGAGCTGCCAAGGGTAGAGATGGGCAGGGCGTGTCGCATGAATTCGGTAGCTAAGAACGCCTGCTCAGCCACAGCACTTGGCCTTCTGACAGCGTGGAGCGTACCTCATCAACGTAGCACGATTTGAAGGCCTCCACGCAGGGTAGCACCGATGGCTCGCTGGACAGCAGCAGGTGTATTCGAGCCTCAGACAGCAGGAGTGGCGTGCTGTCAACTTCATCCAGGCACTTGGCACCGGGCGCTGGGATAAGCTTCAGCGCCCATTCCTTCCCAGCCGAATCGCGCGCGAGCACAACGTGGGAAAAGCCGCCGCCGCCAAGCAGCGACTCCACATGGAAAGCGGATAGCTCCTGCGGTTGCACGACATGGCCGAGCAGGGTGATCTGGGAGAGTTCCCTAATCACCTCGTTTCGGGACCTTGATAGAAACCTACGGCTACCCCGTGGATGGGCTCAAAGTCCATGTTAAACGAAAACATTAACCCAACCGGTATAAGGTCAAGTGAAGCATTCCCTGCGCATCACCCCTCAATCCCTATACAATCTGAGCTATACCTTTGTGGGAAAGCATGGCAGAATATTTGTAATCTGCGCGGCTGTCGCAGCCATCGATGGCGAGGCAAAGGGCTTAGCCTGTAGCCCGAAGTCGTTATCTTAATGAGTGCATCGTAATATATCGTAAAAATGGATTGAGGAAAACAAGCATCATGGGATAAGGATGAAAGTATGCACTGACAATCCAGCTTGCATACACACAAGGAATGTCCGAGTAACAGGTTCGAACTAGGTTGATATCATCTAACAAATAGGCTGGACAAGAAAGTAGTTGATCGACAGGCTATGGGCCGTAAACGCTGTACGACAGCCTCACACTCTTCTTTGCAGCTGCAGCTGCTGCTCAGTGCAACAAAAGTCTCACGCGCACGACAGTAATATTAGCTAATTGAAAACTAAGTAATAGGAGCACGAACAGCCCCAATTATGCTCTCCGTCCGCCTGTTAACCTTCCACACTTTCGGGTGCATTCCCCAAAATCCAACGAAGCTCAATTCGACGCCGCCGTACAGGTTCCTACACGTTCTGCCGTCAACCAGCTGTCGTTGCGGAGGGCGTTCTCTCCTTTTCTATCTCTCGGGCATTGATATTATTATATAATGATGCATTGTGATGGCAATGATATTACTATATATCACCCATTCTTTGACATGATGGACTTCAATTGCCGATATCGTTGGTTTTTAGCTGGAGCCCTGACGCTCTGGGGAGCCTTCGGCCACATCAACTGCCAAAATGGAGTATTGATGTGCTCGTGGGAGCAACCTAAACTGACCTGGGGGTGGTTGCCCCTTTGCAACCGACATGCGATCCAGCTCTCCTCTCTACCGTCAACAGACAGATACGATGCCGAGGTTCCAAAGTGTTAAACAATGCCTTCTCCGCGTTGCAAGATGTGGACGAAGCATCTTAGTTAGCGCCGAGCATGGGTACGATACTGGCCGCTCGCTCCACGGAGTTGCCCCACGTAGCACCCGAATTGCCCCATGTCACTGTTTGAGCCCTCGCGCTCCGCTGTTACTCCTTAAACATACCACTGACCAAGCCTTCTATACACGCAGCACTAAGCACAGCCTTAGCGCTTTACTTTTAACTCGACCGTTCCACGTTTCAAACAGAACACGCCTGTTTTCACCTTGTCGTCTACGTTTTCATCCCAGGAATAATCAAACAGCAGGAAACATTAGAAAGCATTGCGGTCTTACCTAGGGACAAATCCAAACAACGCCTTGCGAGTTACGCCGTGCATCTTCTCCCCTTAGCCAGAGCCCTCCCATGACTCACAGTCGCAACGTCCCCTCAAGAACCAGCGTGGCCATCCCTGAAACGTGCACGCGTCCCTGCTTGCGTAACACCTCCACCATCACTTCCCCGCCACGCGCAGAGCACTGCCGCATCCGCATGGCTCCGCTTCCGCCCTGTCCTGCCCCTTCCACGGCCCCCTCAGACCCCTCAGGCCTCAGCACAGGCTCCCAGTAGGGCCCCAGGACCGCATGAGCGCTGCCAGTGACCGGGTCCTCGTTAATACCCATCCACGGAGCGAAGAATCGGCTGCACACCTCCTCGCCCTCCTCCGTCTGCGCCGCACCTCCCCTGGCGGGCCCTACATGCGTGTGGATGTGTGGGCGTGACCGGGTGCATGGGCGTGGTAGGAATACGGGGGCGCAGGTGCAGTGCGAATGCTACTGCACGGCCGAAGCCAGCCCTGACCTCGCGCGACGGCACCGCAGGTGCATTCGCCCCACATATGTATGTACGATATGTATATATGAGGATGTAACACCGTTGGGCGGAACTTGAATCTGAATGATACCCACCAGCACCACCGCTAGCCCACTCACCCCCTTAACCCCCCTTTCGCGTTTCTCCCTCCCTCGCCCTGCACTCACATCCTCAGCCCAACAAACGCTGCCCACCCACCACCACCAGCACCACCGCCTCCACCATACTGGCACCTTCTCATTCCCTATTTCCTCACCTGTCCTCACACACACAATGACGCCGTGCACCTCTTCCGCCGCCGCTGCTGAGAGCATGGCGCCCAAGTCGGGTTGCAGCTCCTCCAGCTCCCTCCGGCCCAGGCCCTGCCCTTCCTCTAGCACCATCAACACGTAGTTGAGACCTCCACGGCCGCAATACCGCACCTCCCGCACAGGCAAGGACCCCGCGCACGCGCGGGCCAGCACGCCAGCTGGATCCGCAGCGCACATAGGAACGGGATCCACCGGGTCGTACAAAGGCAGTGACAGCGACAGCGACAGCGGCGGCGTCGGCGGCGTCGACTTGCCGCTGTTGGCATCGGCAGCGGGGGTGGCGGTGGCAATGGCGGCTCGGCTGACCACTAGCTCTCCGCTGAGCGTGTGGAAGGTTATTGCGGGGTGGGGATTGCCGCGAGCTGAGGGCGACGAGGAGCGACGGGGGAATAGTGGGAAGTGTATTTTGGCATGGCATGGGCGAGGCATGGCACAGGCGAGGACTGGCAGGTGGTGGAGAGACAGTTTCACGTGCTCCGCAGCTCGCTTGCCGGCAGGGGGCATGGATGTCCAGTCGCCAGTCGCGTGGTGCGGCCCAGAGATCTCCGGGGGTGCCCGGAGTGTACGAGGGGCAGGACTTCGCAATGCCCAAGAGACTGAAGGGTATTATGAGGCCCTTCAACCTCTAACCTCGTAGTTCGACCTCGGCTGTCGGTGCAGGACCAGAACCGTGCTAGAACCCACAAGCATGACTTGGGTTTTGCGCCTACGACGGCAACTTCAGCATCAGCGGTCGTTAAGGAGGAAGTGCAGCCGATGAACCCCAACAGCGCCTGAGGAACTGTGCGGCGTGAAGGCGACCCTAACCGGCTAACCGGCCACCCCTAAGTGCAAGCCTTGTGCATACTGTCCCCTCGGGCCTTCCCAACCCATACGTCCCCACTGCCGTTAGCGCAATGCGTCCAATAGTGTAGTGCAGTGGAGTGGTTGCAGAGGCGCCTTGTCAAGGGCTCAACCGCAACAGAGCTGCAACCTGCTGCTCATGTGTACGCCCTGTTCCGCCCTGGTGTCGGATGTAAAGGCACATACCTTGCATCAGCACCGCGGCGGACGCCAGTGTTGCGTGGCCGCAGCAGGGCACTTCGCAGGTGGGGGTGAACCAGCGCAGTCGGAAGGTGCTCGCAGTGGAAAACACATCCAGAACTTCCGCAGCCGAAGGCGCTTCCCCTAGCTGCAGTAGGCCCCCAACCCCGCATGTCATGGAGACTCATTTGCAGCTCAGAAGAGTCACTGAACAGCTCGCAACCCGCTCATACTTATCAGAATTTCACGAATAAGTAGGAAACACACAGTGCGCACAGCGCGGCATATGTATAGGGCAGTGCGTCACGAGGGAACCCCAGCACATTCGAGATGTGTTGGTTTCTACTGAGACCCTGTCGCAGCAACCGCGCTCCAACGTATCCAATTGCGGAGCTTACCGGCTCGACGAACGCAGTCTCTGGATGGTTCATCTCGGCAGCAATTCGCTGCCGTACTTCATCCGGTAACTGAGCGCCTGGGACGCATAAGCACACAGCCGCAGGGTTTCCGCTGAACGGCCGACTGGCAAAGGCGTCGACCACGTAAATTGGCAAACTTAAAGCTGCTGATTCGCTCATCTTTGGTAACGTTGTACTTATCACGGTGAAGGGATTTCTAGGCAAGCTAGAGGTGTTGGACAATGGTCCATACGTCTGCACATAGCCGTGTAAGCCATCACATGCATTTAGCCAACCAGATTGGACTTGGAATGTCCAATGGGACTACGTGTACGGAAATCAACAGTTGGCAATCAGTCCCAAACAAAATAATTTGACCTGCTGAAAATCGTATCACATGGCAATTACTTGTTTGTCCAAGAATTACGCAGAAAAGGCATATGGGTAGGAGCCTAGCGGTGTGCCGCCAAAAGCTTACGCAGAGGTGACGCATCGCAAAGCTACGATGTCCAGACCGAGGCGATCATCGGCATTGTCCGATCTGATCCGGCAGGCGACAACGTCTGAGATCCCAGAGAACTCGCCATCACCTCATGTCGCTCTGGCGCCGGAACGGTCGCCACTACCTCTGCAAAGTCCAGCAATGGCAACGGCAGAAGAACTTGCTGAAGCATTCTTTCCTGGATCTTCCTTAAGGGAGCATGCATTTTTCCCAAAGAGCCTGACGGGACATTCGCAGCTTTCGCATCCAAACTCGCGTTATGGTTTTATTGGCAGCGTCAAGCGCGAGCAGCATTGGCCACATAACGAGTCGATACAGGCTAGTTTATTGCCGGATAATAGGGATATAGAGATCCTAATTTGCATCACGTGACCCTGCAAGGGTTACAGCTAGGGTTTTTTCGGTGATGGGCGTTCCTATTTTACCAAGTGTCACTTTTAGCATGCCCTCCACAGCAGATACAACCCGCGGCAAGGCACGTATTGCTTACCGCCTGCCGACCGACCCCGACCTTCAGCATTACGGGACCGGCTGTAGTTTTCGGTGCTTGCCTCCGCAATGCTTAATTTCCATTCGTTGGGCAATATTTCTACTTTTACTTCAACATGACCTCCCCTGCATATTTTGATGTTTCCTGCATTGTATATCGCATTAACATTCCGCCCATCACCAAACGATGGCAAGTTGCCGTACGAATCCTTCACAGCTCCGTACTCCGCTTCCCCCTCCTGCCTCCCCGCCCTGTCCCCGCTCCACAGGGTGCTGGCGCTCAGGTTGTCTTCACCACCTCACCGCCGTACAACGCCGGATCCATGCGCGGATCCAGCGGTGCGGCCACGGCCGGTGGCGGCGCTGCTAGCGCGGCCACCAGCCACTCTCACCAACACCCTGACTACCCGCACCTGCACCGGCAGCCCTCGATAGCGGAGGCTGATGCTGAAGCCGACGGCGGCGCGGCCACTGCTGCCATCGCCGGCGGCACCTCCGCCGGCGGCGGCCACTCCCACTCCCACTCCCGCAGCCTCAGCCCCAGCAACCAGGCCTTAGCATCCCAAGCGGGGGACTCTTGGTCCGCTTGGCACCGGTGGTTATCCCCGGGGCTGTCGGGGACCTCCCTGGACAGCCCGGCAGTTCGGGGGGCGGAGTTCGGCCCCGGTGCACAACCGCCGCACCCGCACTCACCGCACCCGCAGCCCCTGCCGCTGCCGCCATCGCTGACCCCGTCATCGTTTATGTTGCAGCCGCAGCTCATAAGCGGGCGCGGCCTCTCGCGGGGCGAGGGCGGTGTGGGTGTGGGTGTGGGGGCCCCCCAGGCGCGCAGCAGCGGCGGAGGCTGGGACCAGCACCCAAGCCTCAACCGTGACCGCTGCCACGCCGCGGATGCGGACGACGAGTTGCCGACATGGCGGGGGGAGGGCAAGCTGACAGGTGTGCGCTGTCTTTGGTGATATGTGCAAGTTTGTCTTCGTGGTTCTTGTGCTGTTCCTTCGTCCATCCTGGTTCGCGAGGGGGCCACCTGGGGGGGTTGTAGCACCTGCTACTCATCGGTGGCGGAGAAGGAGCGGGAGACCCTTGGGGGAGAAGTGTGATATGCGCCTCCCCCCCTCCCCCTGCCCCTGTTGTTGATGAACCAGAGCCGCTGCTGAAGCACAACCGATACAGCGGCGGCAAATTGGATGACATCGAATCAGCGGAAGCGGCAGCGCCCGGGTTGCTGGGAGCTGCCGTCAGGGACGGTGGCGGCGTCGCTGCCATCCCCGCAGCGGCGGCGGCAGCAGCCGCGGCGTCTACGGGGGGCCCCCACGGCGCCGTCGCCGCTCCTCCCCCTCCTGCCCATGCTGTATCTGACGATGTTCGCCACCGCAGCAGCTTCTTCAACGCGCTGGTGTTCGGGATCATCAATGCGGTGGTCAGTATGCCCACCCTCATTGCCTACGCTGCCATTGTGTTCAAGGTGTGGCGGGGTCGGGTGGGGCGGGCGGGGTGGGGCGGTGTGGGGCGGCCGGGGTGGGGTGGGGCGGGGTGGGGTGGGGCGGGGTGGGGCACCCAGGCGGCTGCAGCCCTGTGCACCACCACCCCTCGCTGCCCCGCCGCCGGCGGCCCTGCTCAACCCATTATGACGCTGCCGCTCCGGAACCCTCCTCCTTTACCCCCTGGGGTTGTCCCGCAGTCCCCGCTCTACACTCCGTACATTGACAGTCTGTGCCGGTTCTTCTTCTTCAGCAGCGGCATTCATCAGCTTGTGTTTGTGGCCCTCAGCACGCTGCCCTTCGCAATTGGCCAGGTGAGGCAGTTGGCAGTTGGCGGTTGGGAGGGTAGTTAGGAGAACCATGCGTGATACCTCAACTATTCGGGTCATTGGCAGTTGATATCCTTGCAGTACGTACGTTTGCATGTGTGTCTCTCCGCCTTCCCTGCTACTGCTCCAAATTATAGTTGTTGCTACTGCTGTGGCTACATCCTCAGGTTCAAGACGTGGGCCTTATCTTCCTCTCCGCTATGGCCTCCGACATCGCTCTGCGTGTGACGGGTCCGGATGCCGCCGCAGTGGCTCTGGGTTCCTCCCTCCTCGCCATGACCATCAGCACCGCCATTGTGGGGCTGCTAACGGTGGTTGTGGGTGAGGAAGGCCGATAGGCCATCCCCGATAGGCGGCAATGGCGGCTGAAAGTCTTTACACTTGCAACCTGACTTACCCTTCACGTTCCCTTCCGGTGTTTTTCTCCTGACACCCCCCTCCTCCCGCCGCCAACCCGTCAACCCGTAACAAAAACCCTCAGCCCGGCTCAAACTGGCTGACATGGTGTCGTACGTCCCTCTTCCGGTGGTTGGCGGTTACCTGGGTTTTGTGGGCTACTTCTGCATTGCGGGTGGTACGGCACTGGCGGCGGGAGTCCAGGTAGGGAGAGGGTGTTTTTTGTGTGTATATGTGTTTCTGCGGGGGAAGCTCTATCCCCCTTTTTATTGCCCCTCTATCCCCTGACGGCGCCGTGCTGCCTCCCCGTCCGCCCTTCCCTTGGGCAACTTTAGCTAACAATTAATCCGTGTTTGTATTTTATCTCTCCTTCCTACAGCCTCATACCCCCATCTCACTTGCCTCTTATTCCCGACCCCCACCCCCTTCCTCCCCCACGCAGGTTGACACTCTCATTTCCTGGTCCCACCTGTTGGCCTGGGACCCGCTGGTGAAGCTGCTGCCCACCGCCGCCTCCATCGCCGCACTGATGACTTGCGTGGCGCACGTGAGCCACCCCCTGGCCCTCCCTGGCCTCATCACCGCCATACCCCTGACCTTCCACGGAGTGTTGTGGGCGGGTGGATGGGACCTGCAGGCGGCGCAGAGGGCAGGATGGGTCATGGCGCCCTCGGTGAGCTGGCGGGGCGCCGTGGGGCCGGGGCCTTGTTCGCTCCCTTGTAATGGTGGCTAAAGGGTGGTGGTGGGGTGGGAGAAAGGGATTGGGATGGGGATGCTGTCAGGCGGGGAGAGGGGCTGTCGAAGGGTTTGCGAACCCTGGTTGCCTGGCCTGCAGCGCCGTGCTCTCTCACCCCCAGCGTTGCTTCACTGGTTCGTGGTTCGTCTTTCCCCCAGCGTTGCGCTGCCCTGCCCTGCACCAGCTGCACACGCTCCGCGCCATCCTGCGCGCGTATCACGCATATCCCTCCGTGGTCCAGTCCGCCATCATACAACACCACGCACTCACCCCCCATACCCTGCGCCACCCTATCCTTCAGAGTGGTCTTTCCAACTGCTGGCAGCTGTGGGGTTTATACAACCTGCAGCACGGCGGTCTTGCTCACGGTGTGGACCTGCGCGCCATGCTGGCCCAGCTGCCCAAGCTGGTGGGGTTGTTCCTGGTGGTGTGTTTCGGCAGCTGCATGGATGTGGCCGCAATTCAGTCCGACATGCCCACGCCGCTGGACTTCAACAGGGAGCTCATGACAGTGGGTGGGTGGTGCGGAGGGGCCCAGCTGCCTGTCTGTGGCCGTATGTAGCGCCTTGGGGCCGGGGGTGGGTGGGAAGGGGAACGTGTAGACAGACAGACTTACAGGTAGAGGGGTGTTTTGAGGGGACACTGGCATTCGGTTGCGGCTCCCCGGGTTACGGAGTTGGCCCTGCCGCCAACAGCCAAGATGTTTGCCGACCGACCGACAGACCGATCGACAGACCGACCTAGACAAACTGGTTGCCTTGTGTGGATAAACTGCTGCCGCTCTCTTGTGTTCCGGTGCACAGTGGGGGCACAGTGGTAGGGGTCTGCGTACGTGTGTACGTTAATGATCTGAGCAGCGAGATGGAAATGGTGCGTGTGTATGTCTGTATGCATATATGCAGTCTACATGTCGCCGCGTGTTTCCCCTCCCCCTCCCCGCAAACCCCCTCCCCGCCCCCGCCCTCACTGCAGGTGTATCCAACATGGTGACGGGGGTTCTAGGTGCGGGCTACACGGGCTCGTACATCTTCAGTCAAACAGTGTTCACCATGCGCCAGGTGGGGCCGGGGGGGGCGGAGGGGCAGGGGAGGGGGGGCTGCTGCTTGACTGCGTTTGGCGATGTATGTGCGTCGTGTTTGGGGTCTGGAAACCCGGGCAGATTCGGGACTGGGTTTTGGGTATTCCCGCTGTCGACAGCAGGTTTTCCAATACTGTAAGCGTTCATGATTCCGGCCACCCCTTCTTTCTTCACCCGCACAGGGGGTATTCAACCGGGTCAACGGCTTGGCTGTGGCCATCGTAGAGCTCCTCGTCTTTGCGCTGCCGTTCAGCGTCGTACAGGTACGACGCAATTGATGGTTGACCATCGCCGCTGTACCCGCCATTTCATCTGTCGCTATGGACCTCAACCCCCCGGTGACGGGCGCGGGGCCCGCCCTCCGCTGCTTCCGAACCCCGGGGGATGTGGGTATGTGCCGTACACCTCAGCGGGCTAGATCACTCCTACGCTCGGGAAGCTATACATTTTCGCTTCGCATCGTTTGCCGTCTATGTTGGATATTGGCATAATGATTATAACCGTCCTTAAATTGGTCGTACCCCGTGCTGTTAACATCGCAGTACATGCCGAACTTCTTTTTTGGCGCGCTGCTGGTGTGGTTCGGCATCGAAATTTCTCGAGACTGGCTAATTTTGTCGTACAGGTACAAGCGGCCGTACTTAACCACAAACGTTTTTACCCGCATAAGTGGATAGCACATGGTGCGCACTCAAGGGCCACCCCAGCAGGAGTCTCGCCCTCACACCCCCCCAAATCCCTTTCCCTTGTGGGGTTCAGGCTACCCACACTCTTGGGGCTAGTGCTGCTACTGCTGCTACTGCTGCTGCTGCTGCTGCTGCTCGATCTACTTTATTCTCGTCCCCTCCTCTCTCCGCGACTTTGTGGCGGTGTATGTATGTTGTTACAGGGTGGTTAACTTCGCCAGCGGCCCCCTTACCCGGGGCAGTCCCTGCTCTCCCCTGCTAGAGGGGCACCCTAATCCGTCACCCCATCCGACTTCAGAATGTATTCGTTGGGTTCGGCAACTCACCACCAGCATCCAACCAAATCTAGCGGATCAACGGCGCATCAACTTAGTTCCTGGTCAGCTCGCAAGTTGATATTATCACGTCCTACATCGTCCATATGATGGGGGGCCACCTCCCATTTCAACACTCCTCAAACACCCGAGGAGCCGGCAGGCGGATTTGAACCCGGGTCGGCCGGGAGCAGAAATCAGGCCTTAACCTCTGCCAGCCGCCTGCCATAATGTGTATGTATGTCTGGCCTCTTCTCACCCCCCCCCGTCTCTCACTTCCCTCCTCTCCACGGACCCCTCGCTCCTGGCAGCTACATTATCCTCTTACCCCCTTCCCCCTACCTCTGTTTAACACCTCTCCCGACTGCAGGAAACTGAGTCGCCCCGAGTACGTGTTGCTGTGGGCCACCTTCCTGAGCATCATGAACGGGGGTCTGGAGCTGGGCATTGGGGCGGGTATTGTCATGGCCACCTTGTACTTCGCATACCAGTACGCGCAGGTACGCGCAGGGGGTTATCGGGAGATTGGGGGAGGGGAAGCGGGCGGATGCCTCGGGGCATTCAGACGCGAAACAACGTGGGGGTGTGTTAACGTGTGGGCGCGTGAGGGGCATCAACTTTCCTGTCGAGCTGGGGACGGTACCCACCCCCATCAACACGTCCTCCAGTACCTGGTACCTGGCACCTGCCCTCCGCCCCCAACACATACACACATCTCCCCCGACGGACCGGAATCCGTCCGCAGAGCCAAGTGAGCAGTCTGCGCCAAGTGGCAGCTCGCAGCGGCCGTACACACATGTACGACACGAGCAGTACACTTGACCTTCTGGGTCGCCGCATGGCCGTACTGCGGTTGTCGGGGTACGTCTTCTTCGGGAGCTCCACGGGTCTGAGTAATCAGGTGCTGCAGCTGGCGGCACGGATGCTGCAGGTGAGGGGAAGAAGGGGGATTGTGTGCATGCGTGTGTATGTGTGTGTGTGTGTGTGCGCGCGAAGTTGTGTGACATCAGGTGTGTGTAGGGGGAAAAGCCGTCGTGGACTCGTCAGTTCGTATTCATATCAAGGTTGCCCTGTAACCTTTTTGCCGGGCTGCCTTTCATGTATACAACCTTGACAGCAGGCCAGTAGTAGCCATATGTTACTTGGTTATCGGGCGGAAAGGACCCCGTCCGCCTGGGCCCTGCGTATGGCGTGTATGGCGTGTGTTTCGAGGAGGCAGCTGCAGTAGCACCTCGAAGCGAAGGCGATGTCCGGGTTTACGGGCATTTTCCCAACCACCCAACTGACACCATATCCAACCGACTATCTAACCGACCGCCCAGCCGACCATCCAACCCTTCAGGAGCGCGCAGAGGAGCAGCGGCAACATGAGGAGTGGGCAATCACTGCGGAGCAGCGCGACGGCAAGGAAAGCGACCTGAACGGCCGTACAGAGCTCCTAGGAGGGTCCGCCGCCACCGCAACGCCGCCGGTGCCGGTATCCGCATCGGCGCCAGCGGCGGTGACCGTGGCGGCGGGGCCGCCGCCGCCCGGGGTAGCGGGTTCCGCCTCCGCTGACGGCGGCTGCGCGGCACCACATGACGCAGCTGGAGCTGGGGAAGGCGGGGCCCCGGTGTCGCAGCTGGCGTCAGCGCCTCTTTCTGGACTCGGCTGCTCGGCAGGGAGCGGTTGCGAGAACGGTGACACCAGCGTGCCGCTTTCTGAGCGGCACTGGAGGGCCGCGGCAGCAATTTCCCATGCTCCCATCGTGCTGATCTTAGACTTTGGGTGGGCGGTGGGACTACCGGGCGGCGCCTGGAGGAAGGGGACGGGAGGGAGGAGGACGAGGAGGGGGGAGGGTTCGGAGGTGGGCGGTGAGGTGTCCGTAAGGAGTGTTGTGAAATAAGAACGCAGTAGCTTCCATTGCCTGGGGCGTCATGTAAACCTTCGCTGGCTCCCCACTGCTACCATCACCACCGCTACATCACTGGTAATCGCACATGGCCACTTATGAGATGTTGTTGTGTATATGTCTGCATGTGTTTTGGACCCCGCCAGCATCGCTAGAGAGGACACGGCCCCTGTTCCTCGTACTGCCCTCTCCGCTACTGCACCTCCCTTTCCCCCCTTCCCCTGTCCCCTTCGCTGTGGCCCGCTGGCCTTATCCCTGCCCACCCTGCCCCACGGCCCCCAGCTCCGTCAGTGGCATGGACTCCACCGCCGCCCGCACCTTCGCTACCCTGGTCACCACACTCGCCTCACAACACGTCAATGTCATCTTCACCAACCTCGGCCGATCCGACTTCAGAAAGCTGCTGCAAGCGAATGGCCTGCCGCTGAGGCCGTACACGCTGCCGCCGCCTCCGTCGCCGTCGCCAGACTCTGCTCGGGGAACTCAGTCTCCAGCCACAGCTGGCCACGGCGGCAGCGGCGGCGAGGCTGCGGCGGGTACCCGCGAGGCGGGCAAGCAACAGCCGCACCAGCAGCCACACCAAGCGATGCCAACGGAGTCAGTCTTGCTGCGTAGGTCTCGATGCTTCCGCCGTTGCTCCTGCTTGCTGCTGCTCGGGGATATGGCTCTAAACTTAAGTGGGGTGTTAGCTTTTGACTTCAGCTCTCTTTTTGCTGCTGTGCGTCTGCTGTGTTCCCTTTAGCCTTCCCCTAGGCTAGCACTCTCGCTTACGATCTGTCCGTAAGATCACGCACCACCTGTGGCAGGGGCCTACGCAGCCGGGCAGCTACTGCTCAACAACAGCTACAGAAGGAATTCCCTGCACGTGTGTGTTTGTGTGTGTGTGTGTGTCCTTCTCCTCCTCCATATCCCTCCCACACAGCTCCACTCACCGTGGTTTCCCCGCTCCTCACCGACCGCAGGCCCATCCGCGGGCGGCTGTTGGGAGCTCTCCTCCCCCGACGCCGCGGTTCGGTGCTGTGAAGACGCCTACTTGGCTCTGGCCATAGCGGTGGGGCTGCTGCCTGCGACATCCCCCCAGGCGGCATCCTTGCAGCAGCTGCTCACGCGCAACCTAAGGGAGGTGAGACGCGGGAGGAAGGCGGTAGTGGGGGCCAGCGCCAGGAAGGGAGGGAGTCTGCGGCGGACAGTTGGGGGGTTGGCTGGGCGGTGGCGGGAACCCCCCCAGGCAGCGGGTGCCAGGGTCAGACAGCAAGGAAGGGGATTATGGGGAGTAACGCCACCAGCAGTAAAGCACGTGTGTGTCCTTCCTGTGTGCCTGCGTTTTGTTCCCCCCGCCGGCTTCGCAGGTGTTTCCCTCCGTGCCATCTGACCTGGGCGGATTGGTGGGAGAGCTGGAGGGCGCACTCACTCGCCGGCAGCTGCAGCTGGGAGACGTGCTGTACGGCGCAGGAGCGGCTGTACGGGGAGTGTACGTCATTGAGTTCGGCGCGCTCGTGGAGGAGGAGCATTATGAGGGTGGAGTGCGTGTCGGGTGAGGGGTGTGGGGGCCGTGTGGGACCGTGGGAGGAGGGACGGAGGGGAGACGGGAATGTGAGGTGGAATTAGGGTGAAGGGTGCGGCGGCCCTGCTGGTGTCCGATCCGCCCAAACAGACCCGCGGGCGAGGAGACAGTCTTTGCAGTGAGGATTACAGGTACTGCCACGGACACGGGGATGCAAACCTGGAGAAGAGGGTAGGGGGCAGGACTCGCATTGCCGAGTCTAAAAGTCCGCAGCTCAGGTTAGCTCAGGTCGGGTCGGGTCGGCAACCACCTATGTCTTATCCCTGACATACGCTTTCTTCTCTAGCCCGTGAGAGGGGGACCAGTCCCCTCCCTATCTCCTATGAATCAGACTTGGGGCTGGGCTGAGCTAAGTCATTATATAAACTAATTAAAACCCTGGCCTCGAAGCTGCTCTTGGTAGGCACCCTGATGCTCTCGAGCGGCTGGGTTGCTGCTGGCCCAGCGAATCCAATGCGGCCCCTCATCCTCGCAATTCCCAATATCGGCAGATGACTTGCCTTGGACAGGGGCAGTTCAAAATATTGGCATTCTTGCAGATATACCCCCATCTTCCAACCCTGTACCCCGCACCTTGACTTCTCTCCTGCAACAGTAGCACTGAACCCCCGGCCGCCGTCCCATACCCCGCAGCTCCCGAGAGCACGGCGCCGGCGTGGTGGTGGGGGCACTGCAGTTCTTCCTGGGTCGCCCCGCATCCGCCACCGTGCGCTGTTCCTCCGCCGCCTGCCAGCTATTGTGCATCAGCCGGGGCACCTTCGCCAGGCTCATGGCGCACCACCCCCGCGCACTGGCGGCGCTGCAGGTGCTGCTCATGAGGTCGGCCTGCTTGGACCTTGCCAGTGCGCAGGAAGCGGCCAACCACATTGCGGCGGTGTGAAAAGGATGGGCGGGCTTTAGCCGTGGCTGGGGCGCGTGGGGCTGTGAGGAGATGAGGAGTCATGCTTGTAAGTCGTAATCCTGCCCTGTCACGGCTTCACCTGTCGCCCGGGGGAATTTGGCTTCCCAAACTGTACAGACCCCAGCTGCAGCACACGCACATACGTCCAACGTAAGCGATGTTCCGCCCTGTTGAAAATTAAAAAAGTAAATAACACATTTTACCCTGGGGCTATGTTGGCCCCAGGGTACCATCCACACACTCGCACGGAGACCCAGGAGACTAACGCTCACTTGGCCGACAAAAATGTTTTAAAATACAGAGCCTTTTCCGGTTGTTCCCTAATAACCAACAGATACGGGTCCCTTGAGCGAAGAAGCACCTATCGCTTTCAGTTCTGGGATCCTAAACCACTTAAAACACAAGACACGCAATCGTGTAACAGTGGGCAGGTCTGTTGGTTTTGATGTGAAGAGGGACAATTATACCATCGGTATTATCCTGAATCATAATTAGACAGGCTTAAGCCAAAACCGCAGCCCGTAAAGGTGTGTATACCATTGTTAATTGCAGGGCCCCCGGCAACCCCTCACACATGCACACACATTTCATACATACGTACACCCACACATGAGAAGGGTTGGGTCGGCACCTCAGCGTGCTAAGATTGGGCTAGTGGGGACTCGGCGGCCTCGAGAAGGGAAGGGCGAGGAGAATGCGAATTGGAGGGTAAGATGGTCAGGGGCGTTAGGCGGAGTTTCCGGGCCATTAAGAGCAGCTGGCTGGATGACGCTGTGCGGAAGATCTTTTGGTGGGGCTAGGCGCGCAGTTCAGTGAGGCCTTGCCTTCTTTCTCAAAAGCTAGATTTATGGTCTGTGCAGGGCCGAGGTTGCTTGATGTGCAGTGCTGTCGAACGTACCAGCCCTGCCAGGTGTCCCTGCAGCAGCCTGTGCAGGGGGGGGAAATTCTGGGTGTACCGCTCGGTTCGTGACTAATTTCTGCGATGTACCCAAAATAGTTCCGCGCATATGCTTAGGCCGCCTCCCTTGTCCTGGAGATTGGTTTGGTGGTCTTCCAGGTGGTAATGCAGGATAGATGTCAGGGCCGGCAGCATGTGAAACGCACGCACAAAACATAGGCCCCCATACGGACAGTGTCACACAGCCATCATGGACAGGGGACGCGAGCGCTTAAAGGCGCTTCTGGAGATCAATGGCTCGACGCATACTCTGCCGCTGGGTTACTGCCCGCTGGTCGTGCGGCGTCATGCTCTTTTGCCAACAGCCAGCGGTGCTGCAGCAGCGTCACGGCATACTTCGTGGATGACATGGCAAGGATTCACCGCCACGACGAAGTAGCGCCATGGGATGCCTACACAGAGAGGGGCCCCGAATGTTGTGCTGGAAGGGACGACGGGATCCGAGGGAAGGCTGGGCTGTGCAAGGAAACGCAAAAGAAACGGAACTGGCTATTGGGGCTCTAACTTTTCCGTAAGCCGGAGGTAGCGGTGTAGGAATTTTGCAAGGGAGGACTGTGGCGGCGGACGGCGAGCAAGGGCCTGGCAGCAAAAGCAAGGCTGGGCTCGCCATGGAGCAAGGGGCAAGCCCAGCACGTCTGATCTTCATTTGGGTTGGATGGCGTATGTGGGATGTCCCACGAGCATGGGAAAGCCCTTTAATAGCAGCACTTGGTGCGACGCGTTTGGTGGCAGAGACCAGCTGGCCAGCGCCATCCTAAGTACGTTCGGCATTGCCGCCGACACAAGGAGCGGCTGAGTAGACGAAGGATGTTCGTATGGGGCCTAATGGGCAGGGCTGCGGGGACGAATGAATGGTGCATTAACCTCGTTTCAGTTCGGGTACTACGGTTTGCCTATAAATACCCAAGGACACGACACAGCTGCTTGCGTGGAGGGTACATTGCCTTTAAGGGCCAGCATCAGAAGTTTTGAAGGCAAAAGGAAATTGCATCCTTTTAATGTTTCTTTTAAACTCGCTGAATGTCAAGGTACTCGCGCGTACGGCTCTATCGAGGCTACGCTTGTGTGTGCTTGAGCAGCATCTTGAGCAGTGACGTCCCTAACCTTCGTAATGGGATACGCTACATTATCTCGTGCATAAGGATGTTTAGAGCTGCTGCCCTGCAAGTTTACTGTTTCGTCCTCGACAGGCATAGGTAACGAACAACGTTTGAAAAAAGACAGATGAGATGAGCAGGTCGTCCTAGTCCGTGAGAAACACCGTCTTTGTAATATTAGAATTGTTGTGCTCACAACAATACAATCTGAGGAGTTGATGCTGCTGCTGGTGTATCCTTCGCCTTTTCCGCATAGAGTAGAACTTTTTGCACCGACTCCATCAATTTGAACAAGGAAGCAAAAAATGCACCTCGTCTTTTGAAGGTAGGCTTTGGTAGTTGCCAGGGAGTTACGCTCTTTTAGCGCAAATGGTTCAGACTTCTGAGCCATGCCCCAGGGAGACGTCGCAAGAAGCGGTACTCAGCGTGTTACATAACTGCAAATTTATTGCAGGCAGGATGGATTATGGACGCGGGGACCGGGCTGCACGAAGGGAGGTCCCGCCTTCAAGCACATTGTCACGCATCCTCAGAAAAGACTTGCGCGACCAGAACTCCAAGACCCGATCCAGCCTTAAGGCTGATGTCAAACCACCATGGAGGCCTGCAGGACGCATTGAAAAGCCTGGTGATGAGGCCGGAGTCCTACAAGAGAATGCCGTCACGAGTCCGGCCGGGAGTCCCAGAAGCGCTGCGGCGCATTACTTCAGCAACACGTCATCCATACCGCAAGCTCTCCTCGCAGCGCCGCCAGAACAATCTGTGCCTTTGCACTTTGCAGCTGCGTCACTGTGGGAGAGTCAACATGTCACCAACCTCCCTACGTCGAGCTACATACCCTTGCGCGACAGGTCCTTGCAGCAAGCAGCCCCCGTCAATCTTGTTGGGCCTCTCGGCAGTGGCAAGGCCCAAGCGGCAGATGCGAAACCTCCAAACTCAGCTTGGCCACCGTCAACCGGTAATCGACGGTCCGGTGGCGGTGCATCAGCGTCAGCAGCCAGGGGACGCGCGCCGCTCTCCGCGAGGCAATCCACGCTGTTTACAGCCGATGGGGTCGAGCTTATGGCGCCAACAGAGGATCTCTACGTACGGTCGAAAGCGGCAGAAGCGCACATGGCTCACCGGGACTCTCAGAACCCCCTACAGGGCCAGGTGGCAGCCCCTGACCGAGCTGATGGATGTGGGTCGCTCCTAGGCAGCAACATTCTGCCGTACGAGGACCAGTTACTGCAGCTGCAGCAGCGCGTGAACTCCGCAGCTACTACACCTGCAATGCAGGGTACAACGCGTGCACAGTTCGTAAAAACGCCAGTCGGATCTGCTGCCACGCACCTCGGTGGTACAGTCCTGCGAGGCGACGCGCATGTCCGGCAAGAGATGGAGCAGAAAGGGCAATCTCTGCTCCAGGTAGCACACGGACAAGGGGCGGGCAGACAACAGCAACTCCGAGAGGGTACCAATGGCCAGCCGTGCTTAACTAGCAACAGCCAGCAGCCATATCAGTCGCGCACGCATATGGCCCCAGCTGGGGCACCCGCATCTCGATATGGCCAGGAGAATGCCGTGCGCAACTCACACGTGCTAAACGCTGCCGCAGGGCAGCTCAATACCGTTGGGGTTGACCGCGCAGCTCACACTGGTGCGGGTGGGACACTGCGTAGCGCTGCGCCATCCTTCATAAAAGAGGCAGCAGTTGCGCCACCGGCGACAGGCGCTGGAGTTGGGCGCGTCTTGAGCAATCCGCGCATTAAGGTTGCACGCCGGCCACCAGCTGAGCTGGCTCAGCCACAGGGTCGCTCCGCGTCGCGGCCTTCCTCGGTCCCTTCCCGGCGTTTCGTCCAGCGGGAACCCTCGAATCCACGGCAGCGGGAACCCTCGAATCCACGGCAGCGGGAACCCTCGAATCCACGGCAGCGGGAACCCTCGAATCCGCGGCAGCGGGAACCCTCGAATCCACGGCAGCGGGAACCCTCGAATCCACGGCAGCGGGAACCCTCAGATTCACGGCAGGGGGAAACTTCAGTTCCGCAGCAGCTGGGCACGGTTCCGGCTGCTGGAGCGCGGAATGTTCCTCCATTCGTTCATATCGGTGGGGGCCGCGATCGTGTGCATGGGAGCAATGAAGGCGCCAGTCGATATCCAAGTACTAAGCAGCTAAAGCCCGCTGAGCCGCTACTGGGCGGTGTCGACCTGGCGAGTATGGTACACCAGCAACTACAGAAACGCCGTGCCATGTACGCAAGCAGCCAGCCGGGGCCTGCTGCACCGTTCAATATTCCGGCGCCTGTGCCAAGCGTGGGTGTCGGGGTGTCTCCACAACAGGCCTATCTGTTGCGGCTAGACCAGGAGCATCAGCAGCTTTGCGGTCTTCGAGGGGATCCCGTCGACCCCAGCCGTACGTTTGGGACAGCACAGTGGCGCTACGACGACTCGCCTATGTCAGTCCTAACCGATGGTCAACAGCTCCAATCGGCCGGGTATGTAGCGCCCGACCTTGCCACCGTGGAAGTCTGGGCTGGTAATCCGTACTGCCAAGGTTCTCAGAAGCGCGCGTCAGCGGTGGGCTCTAATCCCCTGCAAGTACAGCGTTCTCAGCAGATGCGCCCATCGTGGCAACCGGAGGCGTGTAACACCGTGGATCCACAGCCTGTCGCCCCAGGTGCGCAAGCCGTATCGGGCTTTCCTGATGCTGTTGCGTATTGACGTGTGTCGAGACTTGCTCCTATAAACGCTTGTTAACGCAAGCATGTTTCGGTGCTTTGCAGGACGATTGGCGGGCCTTCTCAACACGCAACAAGTTGATCTGGCCCACCTCATCGAGTCTCCGGCGTCTCTGGTAGGGCAGCATAGCAAAGCCCGCCTCGGTCGGCAGCATGATGCGAATGACGAGGTTGCTTCAGGTCGGCATGCCTATTCGCCACCATCCAAGCTCTCATCTGTTGGATTATTGTTAGCCATGGATGTGAAGGTTGCCAGCAGCCTTGGCAGCTTGGCTGACGGTGACACACACCGAAGCCTTTGCGGCCGTTCACTTCTTCCAGTCTCGTCCACGCGAGATGGCGACGCAGCTGCGCAGCAACGGCTCGCCAACGCTAGGGCACTCGCATGCCCGCCAAGCAGCTGCGAAAGGACCACAGATAGCAGCGAGTCTCCTGACGAAATGCCCTTGTCCGGTGTTTCATCTCTCGGTCGTTTCATGTCGTTTGGGGATGGGTTGCCTCCACACGGCAGGTGTGCACGAGAGGACCTCCCTGCAAGACCTCATGCCAGCTTTGCCGATGTGGGTCCATCCCAATGGCTCACCGTGGCAGCAGCCCCAGCTTTATCCACACAGGAGAGCGACACAGCCGTGGGACACTATTACGGCAATGCTAGGATGCTCGCATGCCCACCAAGCAGCTGCGGAAAGACTACGGACGGCAGCGAATCGCCTGAGGAAATGCCCTTGTCCGGTGTTTCATCTCTCGGCCGGTTCATGTCCTTCGGCGATGGACTGCCTTCACACGGCACAGATACCCAAGAAGAGGCTCCTGCCAGGCCTCGTGTGAGCCTGACCGATGTGGGTGCATCCCAATGGCTCATCTCGGCAGCAGCTCATGCAGCATCAGTTGCGTCGTTGTCTGAGTCGGCTGCAACAGGTTTAGTGCAACCTAGCGTGAAGGCATCCCCGACAGCAGCTCCCGGCTCACCGAGCAGCAAGCTTTGCTCTAGCACAGAGAGAGTTGAGCCGAGTTCAAACGCTTCACCCCTATTTGGCGGTGGACTTATCCCTAGTCCGGCGTCCTCTTCGGGCACACCTACCCCTTTCGAAATGCATGGCTGGGAACGTGCTCCAGACATCCTGACGCTGCAGCCGCCATCACAGATGTCGTACTCTTCAAGCCATATGGAACCGAGGGGGATGGCTGGGCTGTTGCTAGGCTTTGGCGCACACTATGAGCAGCTTTGTCTGGAGTTGGAGATTGAAGCAGCAGAGCTGGAAACGTATATGCGATATGACGGGAACACCGCGCAGGGTTTTAGGTCGCCACAGCCAGTGTCTGTGCTCTCGCAGCAGCTGCCACTGCAGCAACTTCCATCGCAGCAGCATCCGCTGCAGCAACATCCACCGCAGTCCACACCTCAGCTTCCGCAACCGGAGACGGCTGAGGGCATATTACAGCATGTGCATGCAGTGCCATGGCCGGGCAGTTTGCCGCTGGTGGATGGCTTGGGCAATACCCAGGCGCTGGGTGATGGCCCTGCATCTCCTGCGTCTTCATGTGGCAGTGTGCGGACGGCCACGCCGATGCTTCCACCGACCGGGTTTGGAAGCATGTCGGATCATTTGGACCAGTCTACAGTGTCTCCCACCGTCCCAACGACCTGTTGCAGTGTAACTGGCAAGCCAGCTGCTTGCCTTGCAGGTGAACATGAGCGGCCAGAGCAGCAGGATCAGCAGGTATGGCCTAGAACGGACCAGCAGGTTGCACCGGTCGTCAAGGGCTTGGGGGAAAATGGGCAGGACAGTATGAAATCCAGTTTTGAGCTTGAAGAGATGCAGCATATTTCAGATGGAGCTGCTACTCGCTCAGCGCTGCAGGTGGAGACTGAAGGAACAGGTGCTTCAGCTTCTCCAAGTTTCCCCTCACGCAGCTCAACAACGGACGGAGACGCTTCCTGTATCCTTAGGCATGAGACTGGAGCTGTCATTGTCCAAGCCGAGCATGGAAGTGGCACAGCGAGTGAAACGCTGTCGCCATCTCTGGAGCAAGGGCCTTCGCCAGCCAGTGCAACTGCTGAAAGGCTCCACCCGTTTGCTGCCAGCCGCAGTCACTCACAGGTGTCAGCTGCGGCGTCATCTGACGACTCCTATAGAGAAGGCCTTGCCTGGCTTGAGACCCAGCTGCCACAGGTCAGTTGGTTTAAACTTTGATTGTTGGCAGTGAAGGGCGCCAAAGTGGCAAAGTTTTGTTTCCATTTCAATTCAAGGGCCCTTTGCGCTAATCAGGAATCTAAGGTGGCATTGTCGCTACCTGTTGCTCCATGAATTACCTTTGGTATCCGCCGCAGGCAACACCCTTTGGGCGGAACAGCAGTGGGCTTCGCCGAGGCGGCGCCAGCACTGGTGGCGCTGCTGACGGCCGTTACGGAGAGGCAGATGGGTGTACGATCGTTGAGGAGCAGCCGGTAGTTGGCTGGACGCTTACTGACTGTCTCTCAGAGACCTCGTGCTCTGACGAGGAAGAGGAAGTGGCAGAGCCTAATAACCCTGACGAGTTTTTGGCTGAACTCCTTCGGTAGGTTCTGCGTGATTTTTTGTATCCATTGTCCGATGTTAACTGTAGCACTAATGCTTAATTAGTGCACATAATCACCGCTATTACGTGGACCACGGCTTGTCTCTGGACGACTGCGGCTGACTCCTATGCCTCCTGGTCGTGTGTGCAGGGAGTCCGTTCCCGTCACAAGTCGATCACGATCTGCTGCAAGCCCCCGCGGTCATGCGGGTGTGGAGCAGTGGCCCGTTGATAGCATTGCGGCAACAGTCCCTTCCACATTGTTGATAGCTACATGTAGCAGCGGGAACGAAAGTGAGGAGTTATCGTCGGCATACCAGCCCCATTTGGCTGGCACTCCAGCTGCAGCCGCATTGTCAACCCTGGTACACTGTGACGATTACCAGCGCTCGGGCGCCGAGGCCGGACCGCCGCCAGCTGTTGCCGCTTTAAACGAGGAGATTGCCATGGCCGTTTATTTCCCGCAAGGCTCAGGTTCAAGTCTGTCACAGGATGCGCAAACCATGGTCTCGCTGCCCTCCACAGATGCCCTTTCTTCTGAACCCCCTCATGGTTCTCTCCTAGGTGCGACGGGTTCGGCTGAATCTACGCCAAACAAACTGCCAGCACGTATATCGCCGACAACCATTATCCCGCAAGGTCTAGTTGCAGCTCGATGCCATGCTTTGGGGTCATCAGGTTACATGCAGGCGCCAGAAAGTAGCATCGACGGCCGTGCTGCCGTCAGCCAAAAGCAGGGGTCTGGGACTGGGCGGATGCGGTTACAGCTAGTTCCGCCCTCACCCGAGGCAGTGGACGCATACAAAAGGCAACAACAGCAGCAGCAGCAGCCAGTTTGGCGTCGTCCATCAGACAAGTTGCACCATGACGGTAGCGATGTGGCCGGGTCTCAGGCCTCCAACAAGGTCCTTGGGCTGGTCGCGGTGCAACGGATGCGTTTCGATGCCGCCGCACTGCGATCAGACAGCCATGGGCTTGCTTGTCCAAGCCGCTCACTGGCTGTTCGGGGCTCCATCCGCTGCTGGCCACCCAAAGGACACAGCGGGCAAGACAGCAACGGCAGCAGCACACAGAGCTTTGGTGGCGGCAGCTCGGGTCCAACGATAGTGAACGATCCTGAGCACGCTGCAAGTTCGTGTGGTTCAGTGGAGGGGGCCCCGCGAAGCCATCCCGCCGGACATGAGGCCGAAGTGCCACCTATGCATCAGCCAGGTCATGAGCCCGATGCGCTGGCTCTTGCACTTGATGCACTGGCATCGGTGTCCGCAGGGTCCATTGGACCTGAGGACCGCAACGCTGATGAAAATGTGTTCCAGCAGGAATGCAGTGACGTCCCGGATGCCAGCAGTTCAGGAAGCTTGCCTGCACCAGCGGGCTTCACAGAAATCTATACTGAGCACACTTCCACAGCAGCCTCAGTTGCAAGCGGCGCCCGCAAGTGCTCGCCAGATATGGTGTCGGCAGATGCCGCCGGAGAATTGTCTGAGGCGGGACCTGCGTCCCCGTTCCCGACGTTCAAAGCTACCTCCTCAGTTGCAAGCCCAACTGGAGATTCACCTGTGAGCCCGCTTATGCCGAAGCGCTGGTTTGCAGCTGAAGGGATGGTGGAGCTGGGGGAAAACACGGTTTTCGAGCAGACAGGGTTCGACTCAACGGAGTTCAGCACACAGTCGCCCCAAGAACGTCAATCGGGAGGTTCTTGCCCGGCATTGGACAACATCAACGTAGG